TTTCCTTCCCCTTCTTCATTTGCCGTGAATGAACAGTGCAACGCCAAATATGGCGCGTCACTGTTCATTAACGCCAAAAAGAATGGCATTATAGCGAGGTGGCGCTCCACCTTGGAGTGGCAAAATTTGCTACTTTGCTGATTTGGCGTTGGAATATGGCGTTATGCCTCCCACCTTGGAGATGTTCTTAACTAGCTAGCTTGCCAACTAAATCAGTGGGAAATCCGAAATCATAATTAATTCATATCGGAGTTGATAATATTAATAGATAGAAGACATAAACATACATACATACATACATATATATATATATATATATATATATATATATATATATATATATATATTAGTACGTCACAGACACAGAGATAGAGGCTAGACGAAATATAATGGATAGAGTTCTACTACATAAACTCTCGAATTTAGCTTTTTAAATTTTATTTTTGATGTGATGGACATTTGTGAGTCTCCATAAAGTGTTTGCATCAAGATTTTGTGGGTGAGAGTAAAAATTAAAAGTAAAAAATAGCAGTACACATAAGGGTTGTTGGGTAAATAGCTAATATTATTAGCTAATAGTTGTTATCTGATTGGGTTAGTGAGTTTGACTAGTTGATAACATTAGCTGATTGGAAAAATTGTTTTATGCAGTTTTTAAAATTTTAGTATTTTGAAGCAATAAATTGTGACAAAAAATTAATTAATCAAACATTTATATTAATTATTTATCTAAATCAAATAACTAATATTGATCAAATAAATTAAAATTATTTAATAAATTAACTATATTGACGATAGTATTTTCCTAATAGATAATCCCATCCAATCAAGGTTGGTAGACTCGAGTAAAGTTGATCTCCTACGTGGCAAAACTGGCCTTTCGGAGTTTCCAAGGGCCACTTTAATCTTTTAACATGCAGTCTGGCAGCCCAAAGCGGCGACTAGATGCCGCTGGAATATGCGCCCCTCACCTCTCCCTGATGTATACATAATCTTATCCTCTCATCTATATTCAACAACTCAATATTCTTCTTCTTTTTTCTTTTTTCTAAGGTCAAAGATATTGGCATTCACTTAACTTAATGGCCGATATGATTAGTACACACTAGTGTTCCGAGTGTTTGGTGTTTTGGACTTGTAGCTGTAACTCTAGCTCTTTAATAAAAACAAATATTATTAAATTCAGTTCAATGCATAAATAATGAAAATAATCTGTAATAGATGTATGCATTATATTATATTACATGTTAGATCAATCGAGCAGAATATATTTTTCTGTACAGTAGATCGAATTGGGAATTATTGAGCATGATATATATATATATATATATATATATATATATATATATATATATATAAGCCTATTTATCATCTATCTCTCGTATTTGGCTTATTAGTTGAAAATCATTTTTGCTTTGTAGATTTTCCAAACCGTCCTGGGATTTGACATTCATTTTATGTGTACAGTTTTTGTTTTCACTACTGAATGTCTGAATCTAGAGAACATACACATGCATAAACATGATGAGTACGTAGCAGTTATGTATTGTTGAATTTATGACCACCTGCGTAGTCAATTGGCAGACTAATACTACTGAAAAATTGATCAAAATGACACTGAAAAATTAATTTATGGCTTTGTGTGTAAATTGTAATTAGAGAGCGCAATCCTTGCTCAGTCTTTATATCGTATTTAAACATGAATCCTTGGCCTCCGGAAGGCCAGAAGTGATTTAAACTAAGTAAGTAAATCAATGATTGATGTATACAATTTCTTTTCTAGATTTCACGCGAGATCCGCCCCAGATCACCTTCTATATCTGAATAACAGGTCCAATGCCGTGCCAACCTCGACCTCGAGTCGACCCAGTTATTCGCCTCACTCCACGGCTCCCCTCTTGATAGTACGGCCACCTATCCTCCCATCCGTCTAACTCCTCAACTCATTCGTTGGGCCGCCTGACACCTTCACCCATATACCTAGCCGCATGACTCATTGACCCATCCGCCTAACTGTATAGCTCGTTCGTCGACTTTTCGAGCTTGCACTCACCCCTTGCTCAACACCTCCAAAGGAATAAACTCGTTTATTCCTGGGCGGTCTACTCACTTTAGGCACCCCAACTCTTTCTCAACCCTCTCCCAACTTCTTCGGGGTGCCCTCGGCCTTGCGCGCTACGCAGGCGGACTCGGTCAATGAGATCCAACCATCCAATCTATTCTCATGGGGGCGGTTAGGAGGAAGCTTAGTATAAAATGCTTCATTATTGTCTTGATTAGACATCTCTTATCATGTTTAATCATTACATCTACTTATCTTCCTACAACACTATTATTAATATAAGAATTATCTCCACGACATATATTCATTGTCTTTTCTTATTTTATTATCCATTTATTTATTCTTTATTTATCGAGTTTAGAAATTTGAGTTAGGCAGGCTAATTAAATCCATCAGTTATGATTCGTAGATGCTGATGTGCAGTAGAAAATTTAATTTGCCAATAATTATTGTTAATGAGAAATAAAACTTGATGAAATGGTTGTCTTTTAAATTGAGCGAGCTTTGACTCGGCTCAACTTTGATGAGCTTCTTCCATCTCTTGAACTAATATAATTATTGGCTTAGAATTGGGGTTCAGCCTTTTGAAAGAATATAATTATTGGCATGGGCCGCTAAGTTTGGGCGTTAACATGTATATTACTCCGATCTATCCTCAATACACGCACAGCTCGTCAAGTAAACTCCGCACAATCGTTATGCTGTGCATCCGTATGCACCATGCATGGTGCATACCATACGGATGCCAAAACGACGTCGTTTTATTAAAAAAACGCGCGTCTCCCCTTTAAAAAGAATTCAGGTTCGATTCCCAGCAACAACATTATATTGTTCATTCATTCTGGAATTTTAGTTCATAGATTATGGAATTATAGTTCATTGATTATGGAATTATAGTTCATTGATTATGGAATTGTAGTTCATCGATTCTGAAATTTTAGTTTATAGTTATGGAATTTTAGTTCATTCATTCTGAAATTTTTAGTTCATAGATTAGATTATGGAATTATAGTTCATCGATTATGAAATTTTAATTCATATGTTGTTGCTGGGAATCGAACCTGATTTTTTTTTTAAAGGGGAGACGTGCGTTTTATTAAAACGACGTCGTTTTTGCATCCGTATGCACCATGCATGGTGCGTACGTATGCACAGCATAATTTGCCAACTCCGCAAGTTATGAGTATTATAAGTGGACTTACAGGCCGGGGTCCATACAACCAATGAATGCCATTATTTAAGCGAGCCGAATTAGTTTGAGTTACAGATGGATTGTTCCTTCAGGTTCAGGGCTACAGTGTTGGCATCAGAATGTGTAGTGTAGTTATATGTCTAGGGGGTAAACGAGTCGAGCCAAGTTCGAGTTCGAGCTAAACTTTGATCAAGCAAGCCGCTCAAAAAAAAAAAAAAAAAAAAAAAAAAAAATATATATATATATATATATATATATATATATATATATATACATTTCGATTCGACGAGTTACGAGCCTAAAACATTTGTGTTCGAACTCGAACTCGAACTCGATTACAAATCGAGCTGGTTCGAGTTCGGTTAGAACTCGAAGTTGACCGAACTCAAACCGAGAGGTTGAGGGTTGCCTAGTTGTACGCACACTTAATTTGTTCACGAGACCAACGTCATATCTAAACAAAGTGCAGTGATAAATTAGGCATCATAAAAGACAAACGAGAAAGAGCGAAAACGCCAAGCAAAGCTAGCTGTTTTTTTTTTTGTTTTTTTGTTTTTTGTTATTAATTGGGAATTTGGTTGCTTCCGAAGGTAAGTCATGTGATATAGCTTTTCTATTATGTTATGATGATGATAGTAGATGACAGACAGACAGACAGATTTATATCAGGATATCACGAGCTCTCCTGAGCATGTCCTAACTGTATGAGATACCTTTAAGCTCATATCATTCTTAGACTAATTCTCGTTCTCACCGGGTCAACCCAATTAAAGGACAAAGTGTTTGACCAAATTAAAACAGATTTATATGATGGGCCGGGGTGACTGCTGGACCAAGGAGTGGAAGGCGCTTAGCTTGACTGCTGGACTTTATGCTAAACATTCGCAAATTATGTTGTGCAACCGAATGCACCTTACAAGGTGCATACAGTTGCAAAACGGCGCCGTTTTGGTTAAAAAAACGCGCGTCCCACTTAAAGAAGAAATCAGGTTCGATTCCCGGCAATAGCATTTTTATATATCCAGAAATTCATAACTATATAACCACAATTTCATAACTATATATCCACAATTTCATAACTATATATCCACAGTGAATGAATGAAGTAAAAATTCACAATGAATGAATGAATGAAGTAAAAATCCACAATGAATGAACTAAATATCCACAATATATGATTGAACTAAATATCCACAATGAATGAACTAAATATCCATAAATTCATAACTATATAACCACAATTTCATAACTATATATCCACAATTTCATAACTATATATCCACAGTGAATGAATGAAGTAAAAATCCACAATGAATAAATGAATGAAGTAAAAATCCACAATGAATGAATGAATGAAGTAAAATTCACAATGAATGAACTAAATATCCACAATATATGATTGAACTAAATATCCACAATGAATGAACTAAATATCCATAAATTCATAACTATATAACCACAATTTCATAACTATATATCCACAATTTCATAACTATATATCCACAATAATGCTATTGCTGAGAGTTAAACCTGATTTTTTTTTTAAGTGAGACGCGCGTTTTTAATCAAAACGACGTCGTTTTGAACCGTATGCACCATGCGCATGGTACATTCGATTGCACAGCATAACTATTGCTAAACATTGGCATGTCCACTTCTCAAGTACAAACTAAAACAACCTTAAAATAAATTTTATAAAAAAAAAAACTACATTTACAACCAAAATCAACCCCCCATCACAGCTCCTTTTCAAATACATCTCCTTCTTCATTCAAACCTACACAACAGCAGACAAACAAAGCTGAGCACCCAATTCACTACAATCTACTCATAACTAGGAACACAAAGCATTATTATATTTACAGCAAATTTACAAACACACTGAAACTTCCACATCTCACTCTAAATTATCTCCCAACATTTGCAGCTTCTTCCATCTCTTCATCACTCTCATTATCTCCTTCAAGAAGCCACTGCTCCAGCTCATCAACTTCATCATAGTCATGCATGTACAGATCATCAGAAGTATCCCATTGGTCGATACCCAGCTCCTCCCCACGACATGCAACATGCACGTATGGCCTATTTCGGGCTAAGTTATCCACCATATCCCTGTTTGCATTCCCACTAACCCCCAGCCATCTTAGTCTAGGGAAGTAAGGCTTCTTCAACCATTGGAATGAAAGTTGAGTTATGCCACCACAGTTATAAAGGTCCAATAGCCGTAAGCTACTTCCCTGCCATCCAACCTCCTCAAACTTCATTGAAGCTAACACCATAACTGAAGTATCACCTATCAAAGGACACTGCCGCACTCTAAGCTCAGATATAGGAATACGACTCTTCACAAGTGAAAGTATACCAGCATCAGAGAAGTTGGGAATGTTTGACAAGTCCAATTCTCTCAATTCCTGTTTGGAAGACCCTTCAAAGAGAAAATAAATACATTTGTCTGTAAGTCTCTTGCACCCTCGCACAGACAATGAAACCAGAGAATTCATTACACCTTTTGATAAGTAGGAAAATCCAGCATCACTTATATCAGAACCATCTATAAGCAAAACCTTCAACTTTGGAAGTGAACTGATGGCTCGAAGGGCTTCATCCCCAAGATTTCTACAGTCCCTTAAGTCAAGCATACTAAGATTTCTGTTGGACGCTAATCTTGCAACAGCATAGTTTGTCAAAAGATTACACCACCTTAAACTAGCATGTGTTAGGGTTAGGGAAGTTGCAGCAATGTCATGAAATACAAGATCCGTCAACAGTGGTCCATGTGACACCCTAAGCTTAAATAAATTAGCACATGAATGTAAAACTGTCTTGAACCCTGTATCTGTAACCTGACAGAAACCACCCAGACAAATACTTTCCATGCTTGAGCACCTGTCAGCCATAAGAAGAATCCCCAGATCATTAACTCTCTTGAAGTATGCAGGAAAAATCTCCTGGCTTCTTATCAAAGAGAGATGCTTTAGTTTTCCATGTGGGTTAATCTGTTGAAGTCCAGCATTTGTAAGGTCAAATGCCATTCTTGGTTCCATGATGGGCGAGTCTCGAAGATCCAAATAGGTCAATAAGCATAGACTTCTAGATATTGTACTGATCATAGTGTCAGTAATATAGTCCACTGAAAGGCATAGCTTCTGTATTCTAGGCAATACAGATGGTTGTATATAATTCAGTGACTGTTGTGGAACCACAGGAGGACTAAGCAGTTCAGTCACCATTACTGAAGAAATGTACCCAATTTCCAGTGAAGAAAGAGTGACAGGGGCCAGAGCCCATACACGAGCAAAGTTGTGGCGCAAGAATATAGAGACATCAAACATCAGGATCATTGTCTACAAAATAACACAACAGGATAAGAAAATAAAAAACTACTCAAAATACCAAATTTTCCTAGAGGAACATGAAAATACCACTCACTAAAACCTAATTTCTGGAGCAGCATTTGGAACAAAAGCATAAGACAAAAAAAGACACCAAGACAAGTAAAATCTACCAGTTCGTCTTTCTTTTAAAAAAGGTAAAAATTTAGGACCAAGAGCAAGTTGATCTCTCTCTAGTAGGGGGTATATATCAGTTGAGTCTACTAGGCTTACTTCAGATCTGCTTAGACTAAGTTTTAACTTAGCACATGGCATTGCTCAGTACAGTTTAATGAGGTTCTTTTTTACCATGTATTCTCTTTGTTGCCTGTTAATCTAGAATTTGATGACTTTTATACTGCTTCCATATAAAAGCTACCTCAGCAGCCACCCTTGTGTGAGTGTGACAATGGATTGGTTGCTATATTTGTTTACCTATTTTAAATAAAACCTCAACTGAGTTCCATATGGAATAGTATTAACAGCACTGCTCATTTAAGAATTTCAGGCAATTCCTCTTTGTGGGAAGGCCTAAAAAGAAGGATTTTTTTTAATAGAACATGTGATTTTTAGGTTGGGTAAATTTGTTATATCAAGAATATTCCTAAAAGCCATTTGTACAGTGAAGTCTTACTTCCAACTGAGTGCAACCACTGAGTAACTCCTCAAGATCAGATACATCAATTGATCTCCCTCTTTTGTCTGCCACTGAACTCAAATATAGAAACCTGAATAGCAGCATTCCAAAGACAAAGGTAACAACTAATTCACCCTAACATCAAACAGAGTAGCATTTCATGGACAGCATAACTTAGAAAAGCCCAATACAACCCATGACTAATTGATAAAGAAGGAAACATTTTCAATTTCAGAAACGGGTTCATAAAAGAAAATCAAAAAAGGCAGGAAAAAGATACAAATAGAAATGACGAAATAACTACCTGAGATCTGTGCAGCCACGGCCGACTTGAGAAAGAAGCTTTCCACTAAAATCAGAGCAATTATGGAGGCAAAGCTCTTGCAAAGTCGGACGAAGAATGAAATCGAGGGAGGAATCGTCGAGGCGAGTGCAATCCAGCTTTAAGCTTCTAAGGTAAGGGTTGGGGGGCAACAATGGTCTCAGCATATCCGCGGAAGGAGCAATATCCTTAAAGAAATTAAAGATTAATCAAGATTTGGAAATGAAGAAAATTTTAGGAAAATCAAGAAAGTAATGGCAGTTAGGAATTGAATTTACGAGAAGATGGAAGCTGGGAAGGAAAGAGAGGATGTGAGAGGCACAGGAGTAGAAGGTCTTGCAAGTGCATGCGATGGAGCGGATGGAAGGAACGTCTAGCTTCGTCATCATGGTAGCGAGGAGTGCAGACGGAAGATTATCCAGGGGGATCTCATTTTCCCGGCCTGATTCCGACGAGTTCGCCATTTCTTTCTCAGGAGCAGCCGCGAGCGAGTTGACCTTTGTACGGCACAAAAAGTGGGATATGCTCGTTCATTTATGATTATGTTTGGAAAATTGCTGCTTCTTTTTTTTTTTTTTTTCACCCATTTTTTCAGCCTAATTTAAACTTACAGGGCGTTTGGTTGGAGGGATTTTAAATTCTCTTCCACTTAATTCCCACCTAATTCCAAAGGTCATTAAATTCCGTAGTTTGGTTGGAGGAGAATTGCAATTCCCCCATTTTCATGGAATTAAAATCTCATGTCCCCCCTGGTATTTTAATTCCTGGGAAAAAAAATAGTGATGAGTCAACATTACCCTTTTCTTTTTTAACTTAAAATTAATGTCTAACAACAATAATGGACATTTTTTGACTTTATACTACTTATTCCCTTTCAATTCTCATGTATACCAAACATTGGAATTGAAATTCCCAGTAATTCTATTCCTGTCAACCAAACACTGAAATTTAAATTCCCACTTTATTCCCAGTAATTCAACTCCCATGGAATTACAATTCCTTTCCCACATAATTCCCCCCTCCAACCAAACGCCTTGTTAGGTGTGATTGCAAACCCAAAAAATGATATCTGAAAATCATTTTTTGGGTTTTCAGTGTTTAGAAAACAAGTCAACAAAAATCATTTTCCGTTGATTTTAAAAAATAGGCTTGTTTTGAAGAAAAATGACTTTCATTTTTTTGATAAGTAATTTTTCAACTTTTACACCAACATCACACCACTATCACCACCACCAACAGTACAAGGTCATACTACCACCACCAACACCATCAACATCATACCACCACCACCTCACTACCACTATCACCAGTCACTACCACCACTAGTACAATATCACACTACCATCACCACCGGTTGTTGTTATTATTATTATTATTATTATTATTATTATTATTATTATTATTATTATTATTATTATATAACAAATAACACCACTACCACTACATCACCACCACATTTTACTTTATGAGAGAAGAATAAAGTAAAAAATTTAAATTCTAATGTTTGATTTGTAGGAATACATTTTTTTTGAAAATTTCGATTTCAACGTTTGGTATACATAAAAATTGAAAAGAAATAAATTGTATAAAGTATAAAATGCACATACGTACTATCACTTATCTACAGTATCTTTGTACTTGACATATTGTAATTATTTGTCATGTGAACATTCAGTATATAAATTGTGTATTTTTACCTGAGCCCACCATACAATGTGAACCCGGTCCATGGCATAACTATCGGGTCAAAGATTGTAATGGAACAAAAACAAAAAGAGTTGAAAAAAACATGATACTTTTGAAAACTGGACGAAAATAGAAAAAGATCATTTGACAAATGCGTTTGTTGTCAGATAATTTTATTTTGTTTTGTTTTTATTTATTTTTTTTTCACGGTCAAACAGACACGCAAGTGGGATTTGCGTGTCTCATATTGTATACAAGACCTGCAAGTCCCACTTGTGTATCTGCAGTTTTTTTTTTCTTTTTTTTTTAAGTTGGTCTCTGGCGACCAAATTGGTCGCCGGCGAATGAGAAGGCGACCAAAACTGGGTATTTTCTCCTTGCATGGGAGGAACATGAGATTTCTGCTTAGAGGGTATTTTGTGATTCCCAGATTCTCGCCACCCAGAATCCCTTCCATCCTTGAGAGTTGCTTTCTCAACAGCAAGCCTGCTTTCATTACTTGGTACCCTCCTCCATGGGATACCCTCTAATCAGTTTGATCGTCGAAGACTAAGTTTAAAAAATAAAATAAAAATTACAGATACGTAAGTGGGTACGAGCGTGTCTGTTTGACCGTGAAAAAAAAAATAAAAACAAAACAAAATTATTTGACAACCCAAAGCATTTGTCAAAAGATCTTTTTCTATTTTCGTTCAATTTTCAAAAATGTCATATTTTTATCAACTCCTTTTATTTTTGTTCCATTATAGTCTTTGACCCAAATTGTCGATCCTGATCTATGATATAAAGATTGAGATTCCTGTAATCATTATTGTATGGACCATATTTTGTCTATTGTAAAATAATGTACATTCAGTATAAAAATAATGTATCAATACAAAAATAATGTACATTGTATTCAGGGAATGTACATTATGTTTGTTCTGAGTGTACATTCAATACAAAAATAATGTACATTTAATATATTAAAAATGTATTTTTTGTTATGGTCCATATAACATTGTGTGGACTATAATTTCAATCGTTATGCGTTGGACCCGTGTCCAGCATGCTTGCTGGACACGGGTAACAGTGCCGTTAGGCACTCTTATCTCTTTTTTTTTTTTTTTTTTTTTTTTTTTTTTTTTTTTTTTTTAAATTTCAGACTGCTTCATTGTAAGAGTATATGTTCATAATTTTATTACTATATGTTAATAACTATACATTCATAACTCCATAACTGTACGTTCATAACTCTATAACTGTACATTCATAACTCCATAACTGTACATTCATAACTCCATAACTGTACATTCATAATTTTCGAAGCTCTATGTTCACAATTTTAGAGCTCTATGTTCATAATTTTATCACTATATGTTCATAATTGTAAGTTCATAATGTTAGAGCTCTTTGTTCATAATTTGATCAATAACTGTACATTCATAATTCCATACTGTAGATTCGTAATCTCATAACTGTAGATTCATAACTCCATAACTGTAGATTCATAACTCCATAACTGTACATTCATAACTCCATAACTGTACATTCATAATCTTCGAAGCTCTATATTCACAATTTTAAAGCTCCATGGTCATAATTTTATCACTATATATGTTCATAATTGTAAGTTCATAATGTTAGAGCTCTGTGTTCATAATTTCATAATTGCATAACTGTATATTCATAACGGCATAACTGTACATTCATAACGACATAACTGTACATTCATAATCCAAAAAAAAAATAAATAACGCCGTTAACGGCAAAACACACGCATTTTTTTTTAACTAAATGACGCGTTTTTTTTTAAAAGCGACGTTGTTTTGGGCCCGTGTCCACAATTCAATGTGGACACGGGTCCAGGGCATAATTTGCCCTATAATTTGCCAAATTCCTGGGCACGGGTCATTTTGGGCAAATTATATTATGCACCGCGGTGCATAATCGATTATGCACCGCGCGTCTTTTTTTTTAAAATGAAAATTAACAATGTTTGTTTCCGCCGTTTCGCACTCTTTTGCAAAAAGTAACTCTGTTATTCAGTGTCATTTTGTATACACTGCAGTTTCAGTTGAACACAACTACAGTTTCATTTCGATATAACTATAGTTTCATTCGATATTTATAGACACAAATATGTGAAAATGTTATTTAATTTTATTTTATATACACTATAGTTTCATTAAAACACAACTACATGATCATTTTGATATAATTACAACTTCATTGTACAATATACACTCAAATATGTGAAATGTTATTCAGTTTCAGTTTATATACACTGCAGTTTCATTTCACTATAACTACAGTATCATTTTGATATAACTGTAGTGTCGATTTGGATATACTGTAGTGTTAGTTGATGTTTAATACACCAAATAAGCGGACTCCGTTAACTCTAACGGCGGACCGTTTCTTTACTTAAAGAAACGGTGTCGTTTTGACCGCGGTGCACATGCACCGCGGTCTATAATATAACGACTGGTCATTTTGTTAGAACATGGGCTAAGTTGTAAAAGGGAAATATAATGTATGACAGGCTGATAATTTTCATTTGGGTTTTCTAAAAGAGTGATGACATTCATTCACTTTATTCTTTATCAGCAATTTACATCGTGGACCATAGTCTACAATGCACTATGAATCTTGGTTCAATATACATAATTTGACTTCATAATGTACAGAATTTATATTTATAATGTATAAAATTTATGTTTATAATACGCATAAACACTTAACATAATACACATGATTCATATTCATAATGTACAGAATTCATGTTCATAAGGCACATAATTTATATTCATTATATTATATTTATGTGTATGTGTATTATGAACATTAATTTCGTATGTTATGAAATCAAATTATGTGTATTTGACACTATGAACCCTGGACCGTAACAGACAAATATATATATATATATATATATATATATATATATATATATATATATATATATATATATATAACTGCATTAATATATTAAATATATATTATTTATGTATTGAATATACATTATTTAATAATATATAAAATATTATATCTTCATTACTTAAATAATAATTTTCAAATAATATATTAATAGTGCACAAATAAATGAATAATTATTCATGTTCCATGAAATAATGATTTACCGTAACTGAACTTTCTTTCTCAATTAATTGCTTCATTCGTGAGTTGGAATTCACTACGCACTCAATTTTCGTCACCCTCCACTACTTATTTGTCATCCACGTACACCATCCAGCAAGTGCCATACTAATTATTGAATACGATTTACTGCACTCCACACAACACAATAATGCAATAACGTAACTAGTAAGTGCACCCAAAAAAATGCAATAACTAGTATGTATGTGTGTATATATATATATATATATATATATATATATATATATATATATATATATAAAGAAAAGTGGGCTCTTCATCCAAATTTCTTTTTGAAATTAAAATAGATATATGATTGTTGTCTCTACATGCGTTGGTGAATTTACAAACATTTTCCTCCATTTTTACATACTTCAATGATTATTATGCATTTTAGAGTGGACATTGTCAAATATAATGCATATATGTTAATAGATGGTTACAATGTTAAGGATTAAAAAAATTAGCGTGCAAACCATCAGCTATCAAATTCCACAATGTTGCAGTCGCCAATACCGTACACATCAACATGCCTAAACAACCTAGGCCCATGTTGACGCACCACACTAAGGTGTAGGGACGAGGTTTTTTTATGGCAATCCACATAAAACATGGATAAGCGAAAGTAAGCGGCATTGTGATGGAGCCGATGAAGCCTGCCAAACTTCCCAAGAACGGGAAAGCTACTGATACTAAGTAGGTCAACCCACCAAACAAAACTTTGAGACCCATTCGCACCCACTTAGGGCAACTCATCATCATCTTTTTCTTGCTCAAGTATATTCTTTCCCAGTTGTCCAACACCGGCAATGCGTAGATTTGGTAGGTGCACAAGCAGGCAATGATGATGATCATGTATATTGCACCCATTAAGGATTTCGATATGTCATGTATGTGGAACTTTTCAAATGCATTTAATATTCCTCCTTTTTTATATGATGTCGGCATCTGGAAATAATTAATTAATTAATTGAATCATATCACACAACAAATCATAAAATGAAATTAAATTATAAAATTACCAGGTTGCCATAAGCCCAATACCCCGCAATGGCTAGCGGAAAATGACATAATGCTATGAGTATATATGACGCAATAACTCCTGTGCACATGCGGCGGCGCAATGGAACTTTTGTATTTGTAGGCAATGTCCCCTGCAGGTAAGTTAGTTAATTGCTTGTTAGCAATAAGTTAACAAGTGAGATGGATGGATGGATCGATCAGCCACTGATCAGCCAGTAGTACTAGCTAGTACAGACGTGATCAGATCAGTGTATGTATTTCATGGATGACCGTATATATAGTAGTGTAGGGCGGCATGTATATATTATGTATGTATAATACGCACCTGTATCTCTAGGATGATATTGTGACCTCTAAATGCAAGGGAGATGACGGCAAGAGCATTTGCGATGTCCCGGAACCTGTCCAGCTTTGAAGTAGAAAGCTGAGGTGGATCGTAGGTAACCCCTTGCGGCGGTCTGCCTTTGCTGACGGATAAAGTCCAGAGTATAGTACAGTAGGCAATAGCCGTGAGTGAACCGAGGAGAGAAATCCAAGCCAAGGAATTCAAGTTGGGAAAGAAGAGGGAAATGAAGATGGCAATGCAAACAAAGAGCAAGAACCATTCAGCGCCTGTAAGTCCTTTGGGATCACCTCCGCACATGGTTTTGTAGAAGAGCTGAAGGCTCCCTCCCCCGTTGATTATTAGCATCACGCACGACCCTCCCGATAAATACATTGTTGGGAATATAGCTGCCAACTTGCCCATTTTTCCACCTGCAGATCAGATCAGATCAGATCAATCCGCCCATTAACATCAATCATAATTCCTCAATATAATATATATTATTGTAGGTACCTAACTACATACTGTTTTACTAACCAAAAGCTACAGTTGCGAGATGGACGTATCTGCTGAAGCGAGTCCCTGTGGTCGATTCGTGAAGATCCACCAACAACCATATGGTATACAGTTGCCATACAAATAGCAACGATAGACAGATAATACCCCAAACCCTGCTTGCAACATTAACATATATATATATGTAAGAAATAATAATAATTAAAAGACCATAAAACATTGACTGCAGTCAGAGTCAACCCTACATAGCTAGCTTGGATCTTCAGTTCCTCTGTTAATATTAAACTGAAAAAGGAGTCATTCTTTTATAATTACTCGATCTGATCTTTATATATAGTATATATGTATAAATTGAGGTGAGTGGTGAGGGACATATATACATACATACCAACCAAGGGAGGTGAATGCAACTGGGAGAAGGAGGGCCTGGAGTCCAATTCCAGAGGAGAGCATATGTGAGGTGATGCTGAAAAAGTTGCCATTTCTGGATTCGGTAATGGGGAGGCACGAATCTAGTGGAGCAAACGCCTGCACTTGTGCCGCCGGCTCATTATCGATATCCACTGGAGCTATTCTCGTCGACGTCCATGATCCAATCCTCTCTACTCGCACTTCCACCGCACCATCTTCCATCCTACCTACTTTAATTACTTCAATTCGATCTCTCTCTCTCTCTCTCTCTCTCTTTGTGCCTTCAACTTTAATTTCATTTTCTTCTTTAATTATGCTATACACGCCCGCATATATAGACCGCCAGATGTGTGGTGCAGTGCGTGTCAAATTCAAATCTCCAAAACAAGTCTTTTAAAAATACTTTTTTTTAAAAAAAAAAAAAAATCTAATTTAATTAGAAGAAGAAGATTGTTAGTTAGGTAAGGAATCGAAAATTTATTTTTAAAACTTATTTTCGTACTATATAAGTGCGTATTCTTCGATTTGGACTTGAAGTCATAATTAATTAAATTAATTAGAATCATCGTTTTCCATGTTAATTATTAATTAATGAGTAATACAACACATATTTATCATTTTCTTTATTGTTTTTTAAAGGATCATTTTCCTTAATTAATTTATTTAATTCCCATTAAGTCAGGAACCGCTGGCTGAGGTCAATTTCTGGAATTTGCTTTCCTTCTACCGAGTAGTCCATAGTCCATATTCAACAATGAACGGTACCTACCTACTATACGAGTCTACTAGACTACGACGCAAGCAATGTGACGTCATCATGTTTTGCATTCGCTTACGGCACTGTATGCATCATTAACAGCTGGCCTTAAATAGTTCAATCGTTGTATCATGGACCGAGTTTTTTGCACTTTTGGTCCCACGACTATAGTGGCACTGGCAGAGTTGATCCACGACTTTTGAACCTTGCAATTTTAGTCCACGACTATTGATTTTTTTGCAAAAATGATCCTTCCGGCCACTTTTTCGTCAAAATGTCACCGGAAGAAAAATTTTTCGTTTTTAGCAGGGGTAAAATTGACATTTGACTTGTCTCCAATAAATAAATAAATAAATAAATTAGCGTTTGACTTTACTACTCCTCTTATTCACCAAAACAACAAACAAAATAAAACCCCCCCAATTTCCCGAACCCTACCTGCGAACAAGACGCCATTGCAGATGCAGCAGAAGCATAAACATGCATTTCGGAGAAGGCCTCCTATCGATTCAGACATGTCCGAGTCAGAGTTGACTCAAGCAATTCTGAAATTCGAAGAAGCTTACGAGCAAGCAGAGAATGTAAAGTTGCAGCAGATGGTGGTGATGGAAAAGCAGAGAATGAAGTTTGTAGATAATGAAGTTTGCAGTAACTAGGAAGAGTTTTAAATTAGGTTGGTTAGTGTGCATTTTAGGCAAATGACTAATGCTCTTGTTTCTTTTACTCATTATGAATGTTCATGTTGTTGAATAGAAATGTGTAGGATCATTTTAGTTTGGCAGATCTATGGTCAATGCTGAACATTGTTGTATCATTATGTTACTTGTGAAACTACAGCTCGTGTAGAATGATGAGAAAAAAATTGTAGTTCATTAGTGATCAAGTGAAATTTAATACTTCCACCATGCTTTCTACTGTATATGATATGCAACATTATCTTCTGCATGTTGTCCTTGTTGCTGTTTTAGATTACCCACAATCAATTCTCTGTTGTGTTATGCTCATCAATAGACAAAAATCCATCAACCATAGACAAAGAAACCATAAACAGTCTGCTGTATTAACCATAATCAGTGTTTACAATTTTAAGACAACAAAACTGCATTGGCAGTATAACAACAGTTTTGGCATCATTGTTTGACAAAATAACATGCCTAAAATCATAAACCATTACAGTTTTGGCATTACAAAAAGAATCATAAAAACCATTACAGTTTTGGCATTACCAAAAAAACCATAAACCATTACATCAGTCAATTTTACTTGGAACTAGATTTGGTAGAACACTTTCTCTGAACTAGAAGTTTCACTCTAAAATTAGTTTTGTTCTTGGCTTGAATTAGTGGGGCTTGAACTTGGGCTTGAAGTGTTTCTACATGTGCTTGAACTGGTGGGGCTTGATCCGAATCTCCTTGGGGTTGAACTGAATCTGATTGGGGTTCTTCTGATTGGGCTTGTTCTTGCATTGGCAGTATAAGATCATCCAAATTGAATGAACTTAAAGCAATATCAAAATCATATTCTTCTTGTGTTAAAACATCACGGGCTCCCATTTCCTGAAACCATAAACCATAAAACATAGACATTAAACCATAAACCATAGACAATAAACCATAAACCATAAATCATAAACCACTGCTTACCATTGGAGCTAGAATGTAAACATTAGGCTCAGTGGTGTTTTCAACAACTGGCTCTGAAGTGTTCTCAACAGTTGGTTGTGCTTTGTTATGAACTTGTGGTTGCTTCTTGGATCTCACCCTTTTTCTGGGATTATTCTAAACAAAAACAACAACAATAAGTAAAATTATTAAACTAAACATATAAAGATAAATAAAATAAAGTAATTAAAGCATTACCAGTTTTTCTGTCAAACTTGGATCATTAGGACATCTCCTATTATTGTGGCCAGACTGTTTGCAATTGGAGCAATGTAATTTTATTTGAGACCTTGCCACTCTTTCTCCATCATTTTTTATCTTGTGACTTGTTGTCTCACCTGCTGACTTTTTCCTTAATATTTGTGGCCTCCCTACTCTGGCAGTGTACACAGGAGGTAGGGGTGGATTTCTTTCACGTATAGGCCAATCATCAAGGCCAGCCATTGGTCTAATACATCCTTCATAAATCTTCAAATATGTATCTTTAGAATAACAGGGGTGGATGTAGTCAGTTACATGGCCTTTCCCATGCTTAAGCCAAATTGCACGAACACCATGCTCACATGGAATACCAGTGAGGTCCCACTTTCTACATGAACAGGTTCTTCTTTGCAAATCCACTCTATGTTGTGCCTCATACATACCTCCAATCTCAAATAAATATGTGTCACATTGATATCCTGTATAACCAGCTGCTTTTTCCTCAATAATCTTAACTTTCTCCACAATCCTAGGGCAAATATTGCCAGTCCACTTACTCACTTTTTCCCTATTGGCAAATAGCTTGGTCATTAACTGCTTTCTGATTAATTCAAGGCACAAAATGATAGGTTGTTTACGTGCATCAATAATTACAGCATTAAAACTTTCACAAATATTGTTCACCAACATATCACAATGAGAAACACTTGTGAAATGTGACCTACTCCATTCTGTTGGACTCTTATTAGATAGCCAAACATATGCATCCTCATCCAATTGTCTAAGTTTTCCAAGTGCAGTTGTATATTTGGGCACAGTTGTTGCTTTGGCACAGTCCCATAGTGCATCCTTCAATGCCTTTCCTTGAAATCCCGCAACCTTCATATTCCCATGAAGGTGCCTAACACAAAATCGGTGCGCAAAACCACTTCAAATGCTTCTATTAAACCCTTTTGTTTATCTGACATGAAGGTAAATTCATGTTCATTCCCCTCACTGATTTCTAAGTCTTTTTTTAAGAATTCTAAAAACCACACCCAAGACTGTTTTGTTTCACCCTCAACAATGGCATATGCAACAGGAAAGATTGAGTCATTAGCATCAAGTCCAACTGCAGTCAGAATTAACCCCCCAATTCCAGACTTCAAATGAGTTCCATCCACTCCCAAGATTGGCCTACAAAATTTGAAACCTTGCCTATATCCATCCCAACACATGTACAGTCTAAGGAATCTGTTTCCCCCACAAAGTTCAACATTGTCACTGAGCTTCACCTCACAGATTGTCATAGGATTAGTCCTGATAATTTCTTGGCGGTAACTCCAAATCTTTTTGAAATTATCATCTAGATTACCCCTAATTTGAATTTTAGCTTTCTTCATTGCTCTATAAGCTTGATGTGTACTAATATGAAACTTTTCATCTTTACACACCTTTTGCCTAAATTTTTCCATTTTCCAGTCATCATGATGTGCAATCTCCTTACTCCACCTCTTTGCAACTACAGTTGACGTTGCTCTTGAATTCTCAGAAGTCCAACAACATCCATCATGTTTATCTGTCAATCTATGGATGCTCCAATTCAAAGAATTCTGTTGCTTTCTTAAAGTTACTGTCCAAGGACAACTACTATCCCTACATTTAACAACTAGTCTGGCTTTGTCATTCTTAACAATTTTTACATCTTTTCCATTGTTAAAGGCATAATTGGTCACAGCTTCCTTAAACTCTTCTTTGCTAGAAAAAGTCAATCCTAGGATTAAATGAGGCTCTTTCATATCAGTAGCTGCCCTAAAAACAGGCCACTTACTACCTTCTACATCACTATCTGAGTCTTTTAATGATGCATCATCAGATAGATTAGGTTCGTCCAAATTTCTCTCCCAACTATTCACACCAACTGGTTCACTAGAAATACCTTCTACCCCACCAAACTCAACTGTAGAATCCACATTCTGATCAAATTCAAAGTCATCAATATTTGATATGTTACCATCTATTTCATACTCACTATCAGTATCATCACTTTCTGCATCACCGTCACTACCATTATCACCTAAATTATAAAAACAATAATCAAATTGTTATAAGAAGAAATGAATAATTAGCTAAGACATAATAGTAATCAAATTGCTGGCACAACAAAACAACAAAAACAATATGTTCACTTGTAATCAAATTCACTAGGCAATTTTAAATATTTATCACAAATTTTTAAGGAAATGTTTGTGGGTACTGAAATAACATATGGTAACTCAATGGTGCCAGACAATGGTTGTGAAGAATATTTGAACCATATTTAAGGCATTTACTGGTTCGAAATACAATATTTAGATTTAAGCCATTTGTTCCAATTTTCCAACTCCAAGGTCTGTTGCTTGATTTAAGCCATTTGTTCTAGTTTTACAACTCCAAGGTCTGTTGACACTGGAGTGTGGTCCCCATTCACAGAACACATGCCACATGTTACAAGTAAACATTATAAATTGATTACTGGTCCCCAGAACACATGGTCTCCATCTATAATACTACAGGTTTGCAATACACTTAATATAAAAGCATATTCTGCACTTTTCGTACTAGGCAAAATGTATATAATGCACTGTAAACTAGTATAGACATATCAACAAAATTCATAGCAATAACACCATACAAACACCCACAAATATAGACACAAATATTTTACAAACTAAAAGTTTGGACATTGAAAACTTACCATCACTCCTCAACCTACGCGGAATCATTCTTGAATTTTTCGCACTGGAGAATCAAGCCACGAAATCCAAGCGACTATTTGTGACTGTTGTTGTCTTGTTCGAGGTAGGGTTCGGGAAATTGGGGGGGTTTTATTTTTAAGTCAAACGCCAATTTATTTATTTATTTATTTTTTGGAGACAAGTCAAATGTCAAATTTACCCCTGCTAAAAATGGAAAATTTTTCTTCCGGTGACATTTTGACGGAAAAGTGGCCGGAAGGACCATTTTTGCAAAAAAATCAATAGTCGTGGACTAAAATTGTAAGGTTCAAAAGTCGTGGATCAATTCTGCCAATACCCCTATAGTCGTGGGACCAAAAGTGCAAAAAACTCATCATGGACCACTACACTGTGAACTTTTGTCCAATATATAGAATTCAAGTTTATAATGCATAGAATATGTTCATAATACACATACATATAAACACGATATAATGAACATGAATTCTGTGTATTATATAACTTAGGACACATAAACACTTAACGTAATACATAGAACTCATGTTCATAGAAATATAAAATTTAGATTCATTATATTGTATTTATGTGTATGTGTATTATAAACATGAATTTTATCCTTTATGAAGTTAAATTTTTGTATTAGACCATTGTAGACCCTGATTCACGACATAAATTACCTAAATAGTTAAAGGCATGCTAAAGCGTGTAATTTAACAGTACATGCTAAAGCGTGTAATTTAACAGTACATACAGCACACAAAACTTTTTTAAGTTTTAATACAGATTTTGAGATAATTTTTGTTTTCTTCCAGGCCTGTAGCAAAAGAAAAGCACTGTAGTAATTCATTACTTTTGACTTTGGAGATTTGTTAAGTGAGAAACAAGAACGAGTCCGTGCAACACGCACCTATATATGGATTCACATACAAATTAACCAAGATAATGTTCAAATAAGTTCTCATATTAATTTGTGTAATTAGGTTAGAGCGGTGCAACGGATGGGTTCGGGTTCATGGAAGGTCATACCGATCAGATTTTGAATACAGTATTCGAGCCCTTATCCGTTTATTTTGTAACCTAAATTCGTCGGATATTCAACTGAATTATCGAATGGATATCCGTTTAAATCGTCGGATAAATCGATTATTTATGATAAAAGTGTAAGTGCAAAAATAATAAATTTATTTAATTAAAATAACTGATTTTACAAATTTAACTAATAAAATACAGAAAGTAGTTAGACACTTCAAAGTTACAAACTATTTAAAAACATACAAACTTAAATTAAAATTTACATTCCTAACTTCAAAACATAAAATGATAAATGATAATTGATTAATTGATACAAACTAACCGATTTGAGATGAGAGTTGGGTCTTGAATTTACAAACTAAGCATTAAGCATACAAAAACACAAAAGAGTGAAATTCAGACATTCAGCAACTGAGTCACTATAAGCTCCATTGCTCCAAGCCTCCAAAGTCCAAAGTCCAAGCCACCAAGCCGGCCTCAGCATTCAGCCATTCAGCATTTACAACTCCACAAAAGAATACCACTATATGTCTATATTGAAATACCCTAATAATATGATAATAATCTATTTGGCTATTCCTCTTCCTGATAAGTTATAACACAAATCTTTGATAAGATTTAAAATATTTAAACTTTAAACAATTGAATATGAATGACAATATGACATGAATACATGATAGATAATTTATATAGAGTGCTCAGGTTGCTATTTTTTCAGATCAACTAAGGATTATGGGAAATTGCTCAATATGAGTATGACACAAAACACCACACTACATAGGCAGCATGCCAAACCCAATTCTATATATTCAGAAAACATGATGGAAGCATCATCATTGCACAGGGGGCCAAAGACAATTAAGTAATTAACAATAAGAGAGATATGGAGAGAAGTGAAGACATATACATTACTAGAAACCATTCATCATTCAGGTGCCAAAGACAAAAAGGATTACTGAATGTTTGAATCAGTTATACACTGATACCTGAGCTCAGATGCTCAATGGCAGCAACATTTAAAATGTCACCAAGCTATTAAACACTTTCCAGTTCCCAGCCAAGGAATGAGGGACTGGGGGACATTGATACACATACACTGATACAGACATATCACATATTTATCATTCATCAAATATCAAAATAAATACAGAAATGCTTTATGGACTAGAAATTCAGAATGATTGAATGAATAATTGAATATATAAGTATATAACCATACAGGTATTGTAAGCAATGATCCAACTCCAGTGCTGGATGTGCTGCACAACTCTGCAAAAAAAATAAAAACACAAGTGTAAGTTAAAAGAAGTAATAATTTATACTTTATAGTTATAACTTATAAGTTAAAAAATGTAAATTTTCAGTATTTACATTTCTCAATCCTTTCAACATCATCAATGTTTTCTTCATCAGAGATTGGTTGATTGGCTAACCTCAACCAATCCTGTGCACACACGAGTGCCTCAACAATCTTAGGAGTTAGGGAACTCCTAAAGGCATCTAGTACCCTGCCACTGGTACTGAATGTTGATTCAGATGCAATAGTAGAGATTGGAACAGCAAGTACATCCCTTGGCATTTTAGATAACACATGGAACCTATCAGAATTCCGCTTTCACCATCTTAGAAGGTCAAAAGAATCCTCTTCATCCACAATGACCTCAGAAAAATACACCTCCAACTCATTTTTTTCATTGACATATCACCACTACCCCATTTTTGTTTCTTAATCTGGGATTTCGGTAATGCTTGAGGTTTCCCAATAGAAACAGAATCAGAAATTTCAATAATGCAATCTGGAACTTGTCAAGAGATCACATTATCACAGTCCACACAAATCACAATCATAGAAACCCTAATCAAAGTATCACAAATTAGAGACAAGTGACATGCAATCTGGAACTTCTCAACATATCACATTATCACAGTCCACACAAATCACAATCTATAAGACTATAATCTAATAATCTATAAGATTAGGGTTTAGAGAATAGAGATTACTTCGTTTCTCTAAATTAAACCCCCGAGAACAAAGTGCTTCGATTCCTAGCCAGCGAATTACAATCCACCATAGTACCGCACGTCCGCATCGATCAAAGACTCAGACTCTCAGAGGTCAGGGGCTACCGGTAAGAAATGGGGCTTCCACCGAAGAATAATAGCTTCCACCGGAGACTCACAGTCTAACTCACACTCTCAGTGACTGAGAGAAGGGCAGAAGACTAGAATAGACTCAAGAGATTGAGAGAGAACGAGAGACTATGAGAGAACTAGGGTTTCAGAGTTGAGAGAAGATAGAGTTCTCTGGAAGAAGCTAGAAGGGAAGAGCTGCGCAAATGAGAAATGCCCTAGGGTTTCAGACTTTCAGCCTTCAACGCATAATATATACTACTCCTGCACGACGTCGTATTACTTAGGGTATACCAACCCTTACCTTAAATTGGATAATTGGACGGGTTCGGTGGAAATTATACCCCCCCCCCTACCCGACTTCATTAAACCGGCGTCGTTCAATGCTACAGATCAGATTTGGCATTTCGGGTTCGGGTTTCGCACCACTCACTCGTGTCGGGTTCGGGTCGGTCAGGTTCTGCACACCCCTAAATTAGGTCATTCAACTTCAAAAAGTTTCAATTAGAACATCAAACTTATAAAAAGAAAAGTACAATTAGCACTATTTTGCAAGTTACCTTCAGGTAACCGATAAACTTTTTAATGATTAAAATTTTCAAGCTGATGTGGCTTTCACATAATTTTTTAAAATGATATATTATATTAAATTTAATTTTCCGCAACAGCTGAACCACACTGATTTGCTACGCTGTTATTTTGATGCCGCTTGGGATGCCAGCACGGGAAGGGCGTCGATGGGCACTGTCCTCATGTCGCCGGCATGAGATTTTTTAGCAGCCACCTCTGGTCCTTTGCCGGATTGCACTTCAACTCTTTTGACCGAAACTATTGTATGTAGAGAAGTCCTATCTTGGCTGAAGGGTATAAGGGAGGTTGTTGTTGCTCTTCACACGAATTGTGTCGTTCTCGAAGTAATTTGCAATCCTCAACTGACATCTTGTATTATTTTGGCATAGCCATTAACGACTTCATTTCCTTGATTTATAGTTTTGATACTTGTTCGATTCTTTATGTTCCTAGATAAACTAATATTATGGCTCATACTTTAGCAAAATCTTGTAATCCCTCGTTGCAGGATAACTCATTGTTTTGAGACTTTGTCCCTCCTGACTCCATTTTGGAGTTTTTTGCAGTAATAATATATTCTGTTTTTTCCTTCAAAAAAATATTAAATTTAATTTTTAATTAGTAATAATAATAATAATCCTAATTTAAAAAAAAAAAAAAAACTTATAAATCTTGGTCTATGTACGCCGGCATCTCACTTTTAGGGTGCATTTGTCAAGGAGGAGTGAATTTGGGTTGGGATTCCTGATAAGGAATTTGGATGTTGGGTTACGCAAAAGGGAAAAGGGACTTTCCCTTTGATGTTATTGACTTGAACAACGCCAAGCCCTTAGAGCATCCCCATTAGTGCATTTTGCACAACTTTTGAGAATAACTTTGGTGATGTGGATGAGAGAAGGTAAAGAGATAGAAAATTAGAGTTTCTCCTGCAAAGAGTGGATTTTTTGTGGTCCCAAGGCACAGACAAAGATAACAATTGTTTTTTTTTCTTTTTTTCTTTTTTACCCAGTCGGAGCATCGTCGGATCGATGTGCTCCTTGCAATTCATTGTGAACACCATAATTTTCTCGTCCTCGCAACACGAGATTACTATGTCGTCCATGAAATTCAAGAATCCGAAGAAGCTCACCGTCATTACTTTATCCTGGATTAGCCGATCGACGTCTTCAACGACGATCACCGACTTGCTAGCAGTCTGCAATATAAGCAATTTGAGATCGGAATCAACCGAAACCCTAAAATCCAACGTCAAACTCACCAATCTGAAAACTGAAAATGTGAATTAGGAAGAAAGAATGAGAGAAAAGAGTAAAAATCTTCTTTTGCTCTCAAAAGAGACGGTCATTTAACATCCAAATTAATTGATAGAAGACCATATTAGACATAAATTCAATACTTGATGACTTAATCGGTTTTAAAAAAAAAATCAAAAATCAATTTGGTACTTTTACTATAGTTGAGGGACCAAAACGGTAATTAACTCAGAGGGATGAAACATTTTTCGGAGTTTGATCCGGATATATATATATATATATTTTGAATTCTGAAACTCAATTGCTTGGGTTATTTTTTAACATTTTCTTTAGCCTCGCGCAAGTCAGTCGTGGTCTGTGGATGTCCTCAAACCAGAAGGCTTATCTAGATTTAGACGCCAACGTAAATAACCACCTAACTGAAACAGCAGGAACTCCACTGTGCGGCGGGAGAGGAGCCGCCATGGCGAGCCTGAAGCTCCCTTACTACTCTCTTCAAAATGCCCGCGAATCGAATTCCATGCTCTCTTTTCCCACTACAGTCATAAGCACAAAATTTTCTCTTCCATTTTCCACGGGTAATTCTCTACAATCTGATCTGGAGCCTATGTATTTATTCCCACTTATATATCTATTTACATATGCGTATCTTCAGACGGTGAGGGTTTCGTTCATGGAAGAACGCATTTAAGAATTGAATTTCTACGGAGTACTATTTCATTCTATGATTTGCTACACTGAAGTTTTTGTGTGTTTATATATATATACACATATATATGAACTGAGAACCATTGGTTGAACATAACGGAGTGCACATTAATCACTATGAGTTTCATGTTTCATGGGTTCATCAAAAACATCATAGTTCAATGTTCTAACTGGTAGCCATTTTTCCTTATATTATAATTTTTACCTTTCTCAAAAAATATCATTAAAATTTAGTAGTAGATTAAAGCTGTTAGCATAAATACAGGTTATAGGGATTGTGCAACCTCGGTAATTAGCACTGTTTCCCTAATTTACCATAGTGGCTTGTACTGCCGATGGTCTAATACAAAGAGAGTAAGGGGAGAATGGTTCACTACAAGAGGTACATTGGGTTTCTTGTTTACAGTGAATAGGAATATTGCAGAATTTAGTTCTGCTGTATATACACACAAATTTGTTGGACCTTATTTTCAATTTCAGCACAGCCCATGGCTGAGGAACTATTAGAAGATATGTCCGTGGATCTTCCAACCAGTGGCAACTCTATACGCCAGAGATTCCTCAACTTCTATGCTGCAAGAGGTCACAAGGTGCTTCCAAGTTCTTCTCTTGTGCCAGATGATCCTACTGTTCTATTGACAATTGCTGGAATGCTTCAGTTCAAGCCCATCTTCCTTGGGAAGGTGACATTTCACTTATTTTTTCCCCAGATTCTGCATGATGCAGAAGCCTTGCACACTGACACCTTACTCTCTCTCTCTCTCTCTCTCTCTCTCTCTCTCTCTCTCTCTATATATATATATATATATATATATATATATATATATATATATATATATATATATATATATATATATATGGCTTTTTTGAGTTTAACAGTTTTGATTCTTTCTCCTTTAGGCACCAAGGGAAGTGCTTCGTGCTGCTACTTCTCAGAGATGCATACGTACAAATGACATTGAGAATGTGGGTCGAACTTCTAGACACCATACCTTCTTTGAAATGCTTGGGAATTTTAGTTTTGGAGATTATTTCAAGGAGGAAGCAATCCAATGGGCCTGGGAGCTTTCAATATCAGAGTATGAGCTTAATATAAAGTTAATCCATTTTCTACTTAATTGGAATGAAAGAATATTAGCTCTCTTTGTGTCAGAAAGAAGATAGCTTTTTCTCTGGCCTAAATGGCTGTAGCTAATCCCCCTTTTTTTTTTTTTATTAGCATGGTTGATCACTTTAATGTCTTTACTGTGTGCCAAGTTTCACATCGATATCCTCCTAAACCTTCATCTGTTGTGGACTCAAAGAGAAAATGCATATTTCTGCTTGTGTGTTCTCAATGGAAAATGCCAATCTGAAGGAGAAGCAGCCTTGCAACAATCCTTGACCTCCGGGGTATCTTGAGGAAAAGAACTTTATATAATGTGATATATTGACAGGCTCTCAATATGATTTCACTACTTGTGTCATGAGTCTTATTCCATTTTGTATCTGCCCCTTTGTCTTGTTTTTTTTTAGAAGGTTTGGGTATTGACTAGTAAATTTAAGTCTTTGCTTTTTCCAAGTTACGTTGCATATATGGATCAATATAGATTCAATTGTCCAAGTAAATATATATTAATTAATTCTTATATGGTTGCTTATAGATATGGACTCCCAGCTGATAGATTATGGATTAGTGTTTATGAAGACGATGATGAAACTTTTGCAATATGGCACAATGTGGTAAAGATTAAAGAAGAGATTTAGTTTTTCATGAATTATATGGAGAACTCATGAAAGATGAAATATTAGTTAGAATAGAAAGAATGCATGGACATAATTTTAACTTTCAGTTTGATTCTTCCCTCAGATAGGTGTTCCTGAAGATCGAATAAAAAGACTAGGTGAAGAGGACAACTTTTGGACCAGTGGAATAACTGGTCCTTGTGGCCCATGCTCTGAAATTTATTATGATTTCCATCCTGAGAGGGGATTTGAAGATGCTGTAAGTAGTGTGATCTATTTAAAATAAATAAAAAAATAAAAAATTAGTGTCATTTCTTATTCTTTCTCTAGGTGGAGACAGTCCTGAGAATTTTCTTCTCTTCCACTCTCCTTTTTAAGAATAGGCTATAATTTATTGCTCTGTCCTTTCCCTACTGAGGATTCTGTGGTTGGCATAGCTGGACCCAAACCTGAACATGTTGCATTAATTTCTCTTTGTGCTGACTGATACCAGGATCTTGGAGATGACACAAGATTTATAGAGTTCTACAACCTTGTATTTATGCAATACAACAAAAAAGATGACGGTTCACTCGAGCCTTTAAAACAAAAGAACATAGATACGGGACTAGGCTTGGAGAGGATGGCTCGCATTCTGCAGAAGGTAGTTATGATACAGCTATATTTCTATGCCAATGTGATGATATATTTGATCTAAGGAACTTTTCTTCAATGATTTTCCTGAGTTGATGAAAAATCATTTTTCTTGATATACTCAGCAATGTTTAACTTCAACACACACACACACACACACACACACACACACACACACACACACACACACATATATATATATATATATATATATATATATATATATATATATATATATATTTACATGTTTTCTTGGTTTCTTACACAGGTACCAAACAATTATGAGACTGACGTAATCTTTCCCATCATAGAGAAGGCTTCAGAATTGGCAAATGTCTCATATGCACTTGCAGATGAACCTACAAAAACCAAGCTTAAAGTTAGTTATTTTTAAGGGATTGTGACATTTAGATGTGTTCTTACCTGTCTGACTTAAAAGCTTTTTAAAACTGTCAACTCTGTCTTTAATCTTTCTAACAACTTTCAGGTGATTGGGGACCACATGCGTGCAATTGTATTTTTAATATCAGATGGAGTTGTCCCATCAAATATTGGAAGAGGATATGTGGCTCGGCGTCTCATTAGAAGGGCTGTTCGAACTGGCAGGTTGCTTGGTATAAAAGGTGATGGGACATGCAACTTTGAAGGAGCTTTTTTGCCAATCCTAGCTGAGAAAGTAATAGAGTTAAGCACCCACATAGATCCTGATCTGAAGCTAAAATCATCTCGTATTGTTGACGAATTAAAAAGAGAGGAACTTCGTTTTGTACTCACACTAGAAAGGGGAGAAAGGCTTCTTGAGCAGATGTTAGCAGATGCAGTATCAAATTCTCAAGGAACTGGAAATGTTCCCTGTATATCTGGCAAGGATGCATTTCTTTTGTATGACACATATGGATTTCCAGTGGAGATAACCAATGAAGTTGCTAATGAACTCAGTGTTGGTGTAGATATGAAAAGCTTTAATACAGAAATGGAGAAACAAAGACGCCAATCTCAAGCTGCACATAATACTGTAAAACTCATGGTTGAAAATGGTGAAAATCTAACAGAAAGTGTTCCTGATACTGAATTTCTTGGTTATAATACCCTTTCTGCCAAGGCAGTGGTTGAGGGTTTGCTGGTAAGGGGCAGTCCTGTGTCATGTGTCTCTGAAGGAAGTGAAGTGGACATTTTTCTTGACAAAACCCCATTTTATGCTGAATCAGGAGGTCAAATTGGAGATCGTGGTTACCTGTATGTCATGGAGGACGGAAACCATCCAAAAGCTGTCATAGAAATTAAAGATGTCCAGAAATCTCTTGATAGCGTATTTGTACACAAAGGAACTATTACGGAAGGTACAGTGGAGGTTGGTGGAGAAGTAGAAGCTGCAGTAGATGCAAAGCTAAGACAGGGAGCTAAGGTACTGCCATATGTAATGTATAATATGCATCTATTTATTCTATTAGCGAATGGAAATATTGGTATAACATATTTTCTGGACTCTCAGATTGAGAGTAGACAGTCATGAGTGTAGTTGGTGATACCATCTGTACTAGCTTATTTCTAGGTGCCTTAATACTTGTTGAGAAGATACTTTTATTAATCCTAATAAAAAAAAGGTGTATAATGGCATACACTCAGACACACACAGAGCTTCATGTAGGCTAACCACATTAGCAAAACCCTACTAGGATTCATATTACATTTAACACTCCCCCTCAAACTGGAGCATAGATTTTGATAGTGTCTAGCTTGTTACAGATAAACTCAATCCTATCGTTATTGAGCCCTTTTGTAAATAAATCTGCCAACTAATCTCCACTGTGTACATACAACGTAGAAATCGATCCTAATTGAATCTTTTCTCAAATGAAATGACAACCCGCCTCAATGTGTTTGGTCTGTTCATGGAACACTGGATTATTAGAAATATGAATGTATGTATGTTTTAACAATACTTGTTACAAGGATTCCATTTATATTTAACAATTTCTATTAATTTAATATGTTTGTTTTGAATTTTATTTTCAAGCATTTTTTCATCAAATTTGAAACATTTCACTCTTCTAGCATGTTCTCTTTTCAGGTTCATCATACTGCTACTCATTTGCTCCAATCAGCTCTTAAAAGAGTAATAGGCCAGGAAACATCTCAGGCTGGCTCATTGGTGGCTTTTGACCGCCTTAGGTTTGATTTCAACTTCCATCGAGCTTTACAAGACAATGAGCTCATGGAAATTGAAAGACTAATCAACACATGGATTGGAGAAGCAATATTTTTGGAAACCAAAGTCATGTCCTTGACTGATGCAAAAAGAGCTGGAGCTATTGCTATGTTTGGAGAAAAATATGGAGAACAGGTTCAAAATATTATCCCTTTTATATATCTCAACAACACAATAAACCATTTATTGAATTGATTTATCTCTCTTTGTTGTCTGCGGGCTTACGCAGGTCCATGCTTTTAGTCTTATGTACCTTCATTATATGATGATATACAGGTGCGTGTGGTCGATGTCCCTGGTGTGTCAATGGAATTATGTGGTGGCACTCATGTCAGTAATACTTCTGAAATACGTGGCTTCAAAATAATTTCTGAACAGGGGATTGCATCTGGAACCAGGCGCATTGAAGCCGTTGCTGGTGATGCTTTTATAGAGTATGTCGTTGCCAGAGATAACTATATGAAGCAGCTATGTTCCTCTCTCAAAGTACCTACTCCACAACCTTTTTCCTTCTTGTCTGAAAATGATTGTTTTCCTTTATAATTATATTCATTACCATTTGTGTAAGCTTTTTCTTTTTCTTGACGTGTTGGGTTTTTCATATGGCATTCCCTCTTTCTCTAGCCCAACTGCATGGTGATCTTAAATATTATTAGACATCCACCTAGTAGCTACTACTATCATGAATCATCAAAATTCAAGAAGCATAAGAATTTTTTTTTAAACATAACATTTTTACTAGCATTAAAGACTTTTTTTTTTTTTTTTTTTCCAAAGGTTAAAGCAGAAGAAGTTCCAACTAGGGTGGAAGCTCTTATGGGAGAGTTACGTGCTGCAAGAAATGAAGTTTCAGCTGCACGTGCAAAAGCTGCTATCTACAAAGCATCAGCAGTTGCTAACAGGGCATTTACCGTTGGAACTTCAAAAAAGATTAGGTAACTATGTTGCAATAAAAATACAAGCTAAAAAATATATTCTCTAGCTATCCAACTTCTTATACGGAGTATAAATATCAGTGACCCAATTATGTTAAAATTAATCTTTACCCCTTTTTCCTTTGCCTTGATCCTCCATAACTCACAAAGGTACAAAAAATAATAGGAAATATTACAGGCATGAAAAACTAGCAAACAATAACATTGATATGTCTGTCTGTTTTTATTGTCCAAGTAGTGACATTCATTCAATCTGTAGAGCCATAAAGCAGCACAGCAGACTTCATATATTGTTACAGTCCTCAAGAAGTGTGTTTTGCAGGATGGTAGTTGAGTGCATGGAAGATATCGATGCAGATTCTCTTAAGAGTGCTGCAGAATATTTGGTAGATTTGTTACAAGATCCAGCTGCTGTGATTCTAGGCTCATGCCCTAGTGAAGAGAAGGTCAGTCTGGTTGTTGCTTTAACCCCGGGAGTAGTAGATCTTGGAATTAAAGCAGGTGAAATAATAAAGCCTATAGCTAAATTGTGTGGTGGAGGAGGGGGCGGCAGACCTAATTTTGCACAGGCAGGAGGAAGGAAGCCAGAGAATTTGGTGGGTGCGCTGGAAGAAGCTAGAAAAGACATAACAAGGCAGCTTGAAAAATGAGAGTACAAGTATCCACACCACATTCATGGTATGGGATGCCTTCTCTCTGTCTGTCTCTCTCTCATTCCTGATTTTCATTTAACAATTTGCTCATACCATCTTAACTTAAGCCAGGTAGTGCCCCTTCCTTATGTCTTCTTTTCCATAGACTCCCTCCCTCCCTCCCAGCCCAGTATAATCTTTCTGTTCATTCTTGTATTATTTTGCTGTCTTTTTTACTTAGGTACTGTGGTTGGTGTTAGCATGAGGATAAATGAAGTGAAAGTGAAAGGGAAAAGCTTGGCGAAGTGGAATATGCAGTGAATGTGCTCAATATCTAAGCTAAGCATTATATTGTGAAGATGATTGCGATTCCAATACTACTAATCTGAACTGATGTTGAAGATAAATGGAACACAAAAAGCAAGATGATAATATAGGAGGTGGTGGTGGTGGATGGAATCAGGGAATAGGCAGTTAGTTGTCTACTTCTATCTATGCACAACTGCTTATAAATCATACCTCATAAATGGTGGAGTCAGAGTCGAAGTAATTGTGTAGCCTGTGATAGGCCTGGGGTTGTCAATATAATGATCTACGGGGTAGTATTTATTTCTTCTGAACATGACAAGTTCAGCAGTAGGGGGTGTTTATCAAGTATTGTATTGTATCATATACATAATCAATAATTAATTAGATGCAAACCATATGTTATCAGTATTTTGCTTTACTTTAGTATCATACTCTCACTCTGGGCGGTCTGGTGTCCCAACAAGTATCTCTCCACCATCCATCATGCTTAAACCAATATACTCAACTGCATCTTCTCCCCCTTGGCCAAATTGCAGGAGCAACCATCTTTAATGTCACGTCAAATCTACTCCCCCATCAGCCTTAACAGCCCTCAGGCCGGGTTCCTGAAACTTACTTTATAAAGCTTGCGACAGTAATAGCTGGTCAATATCCTAAACCCACTCACTATCAAGAAGACCTGAGCTGAGGACCGAATCAGTCTTGAGAGGCAAGCAGGCAGCTGAAATGGAAGTGTATTGTTCCCCTATCATTGATGATCGGAGGAAATGCTATATCATTGGAGGAAAAGGCAAGAGAGAGTATGTACTATACTCCATTTGATCTCAGAATAAAACAGCAATACCTTCCGCCAAAGATGCAGGGCTGCCCACAAATGGTAACACAATCTCTGTCTGTCTTAAGGCATGCATGGCTATGACACTTTTTCATGCTCTCGCGCAAGATTATCCTCTTCAATTCGCTGCAACAGCTCCTCATACACTTTCAAGCAATTTGCACTAAATCTCTCCATGGCCTCAAAGATCCGCTGTAGACCAGACTGAAGGCTACTATTTTTGCTTGTATCACTCTGGTAAATGGCATGCCTATTTAATGAGAGTACATTTTCCTCCCCAGAAACCAATACCATCCTTTTTTCTAGTGCCTGCATCTCTTTCTGTATCTTTTGATCTTCCCTCTCAAGGTTCTTCACTTTTCTCTCCATATCCTTATTGGCCATCACTCTATGGCGCATTTCTAGCTTATCTCGTTCCCAGAGCTGAAGGACGTTTGTGGCAAAATCTCGCATACTATCTACAACCTCTTTCTCAGAAACTCTTTCCAATGATTGTGACCAGTGATTACAAATAACAAACACAGGGGGAGCACCTATCCTACCAGGTGAGAATGGAACTATTCCATCAGGAGTTTCTTCAGGAACATAAAGGAGGCATTTCATAAGCCAGTTATTCAGTGCTATGATATACCCTTTCTGGGTACTTACCCAACTAGAGAATCTTAAAATCCAGTTAAGAAGCTCATGCTCAAGGTGTAAAGTGGCTTCAAGATGAGCTTCACTAAAGTGTTTGTGCAATGCAATGGAATCCAATCGTTTCGCTTCCACAATAGCCTGGCACTGGTTCTGATGGCACTCAAGCATGGACTTCCACATTCTGGTTAACCTAGAGTTAAACAAATTAATCAAGATTAAAATGCAACAAAAGGTACTATATTGATGTACAGCGGGGAATCAAAAGTATTCTTCATGTTCCCAAAACAACTAGATGAACTACAATCTATTAGCAGTATCATATCCACTCTGCCTACAAATGGAGTCACCCCTGTTCAAAACCTTCACCCAAACTGGCAAAAAACCTGGCCATTTTTGGCAAGAAGAATGTTCAATGTAAATACAATATATAGAGATATGCAGTATGCTGAAATGCAAAGAACATGCAAACATATAATGTCCTTAGAAACAGCCATGAAACACATTGCAAAGGAAATATTAGCTCAAATACAGATAATAGAGAATTTCACAATTAGATTTAGAAGCAACAGCCTATAGAACAGAGGCCAAAGCACAATAAGCATTTAAGAACATATGAAAACGATATACCCTTGTATGAATCCATTTAGTTGTGGCCACAACTCTTCATCCCTCAATTTATTTATCTTCTCAGAGATCTTATCAACAATTTGAATTGAAATCCTAATTTTTGTTGAAAGGCTCCTGATCAAAGTCCTTGTCACATCAACTTTGTGAGCCTCAGCACCCTTTTCATCTAGTCGCTTCAATCTTTGATTTTTCCTCTCATGAAGCACCCTCATTTTCTCCTCAACCTGCATAAATGTGGCTCCTTTAGTATGGAGAAGAGGAAAAACATTGTGTACCATGCAAACATATAACAGTGCACCAACCAGACTTGCTAACACATGGAAAAAAGTTCCAGGACAGGTAGAACACAAAAAGAGCAAGATATGCATACTGTGCTTATGAGGGGAAGTTAGGAGCTAAAAACACATTCCATTAGAATGATCAAGGACAAAGAATGTGATAACTTTTCACAGACCACTGACACATTAAGGTGAAATAAATAAAAAAGAAACACCAAAGTCATCGCAAGTAGCACTAACTGGAATACTTATAAAATGAATATTTATAATTCATTTAAATTAAAATGCTGCATGAGTTGGCATAATCAAGAAACAATACCTTGACTTCTTCATACAGTTTCTTTTCCCAAAGATAAAGCTTCTGCAATGTAGAAGAAATATTTTTGGACCTTAAAGAACTCACTTCTCCTTCTATATCTAGCAAAGCAGGATCAGACTTATCATCCATGTCACTTTTTGAAGTAGAAGGTTGTGATGATAACGCAGACAAGGAAGAGGTGAAAGTGTGCAACATCTTGGAAGAAGCTGTCCCAAAATATGCCCGTAAATTTTTATTTTTATTTTAAATGATGCCAATTAAAATAAACTAAAACTTAGAACCCACAGAATTGTAAAGTTCTCCGGAATTAATCACTGGCTAAAGAAAATCCATTAGCATAAAGATGCAAGCTTTCATGAAGAAATAGGCATTAGAAATAAGAAATTGATATTAATTATATACAGAGAAAAAAAAAAAAAAAAGCACTCTTTTACCTTGATATGTGGCATGTTTGCGGTTATAAGGAAGCTTTCCAACCTCTAGCATCTTAGCCAGTTCGCTGCCAGATTCTGATGCTCGTTCAAATTGAACCTGAATCTCCCTCATGACATCAGAGTCCCCCTTGAAGCCGCCATGAGCCTTGAAGCCTCGTACATGGGTCCGATCCCCTGATGTCCCCACCTCGTCAACCACTTGCTTATCCACGACATGCACCTCGTACTCCACAGGATCATTCTCCGCAGATACGCTTGGTCTATTCCGGTAAAGCGACTCTGAATCATTTGGCTTGTCATCCTCATCCTTTGCGGGAGCCTTGGAATAGCTTCCGGCGCCAGCACTGTCCACAAACTTTTGATCTCCGTGCACTTCCTTCACAACCTCATGCTCAAAATCCTCTTCTTCCAAATCAGGAATTCCCTCCTCTTCTCTCACCTCCCTAGAATCCCGGCTTGGTGAGTACGGACGATAAAAGTTGTCAAAACTCTCAAAGGGGTTCAAGAAATCCCAAGCTGAGGTGGTTGGGGGAGGCGGCGGCGGCGGAGGTTGTTCGGAAGCCGATGGCGCAGATGATGGTCCTGCCGGAGATGAGTAATTGTAGTAGTGTCCAGGCGGCGAGGAACCAAAACCACCGGCAAAACTGGGGTAATTGTAGAAAGAGCCTGGATTTGGGGTATTGGGATAAGGATAAGGGTAGTAGGAAGAAGTAGCAGAGTCACCCATGCGTACAGTGTCAGGGCTCATCGGGCGTTGTTGATAGGTAACAGATGGCGTGGATTGGTTCCTCATGAAATTGAGGTGCATAAATCTACCGGAAGCAGGAAGCGGATAGGTGCCATCAGTGGCGATGGAATTAGGATCCGCGTAGGGATGGAGCGGCGTGGGGGCATCGGAGAGGTGATGCAAAGAGGCAGAAGGGGAATCTTCGTCCTCGGAATCGGAGTGGAAGTGAAGGTGGGAGCCAGAGCTCTCGGAGTGGTGATGAGTAGCGGGAGGCTTATTGTCGGGAGGAGAAGCGGAGGGTTGGGAGTCGGCTTTACGGTGAGGAGGGGGATTGAGAACGGGAGAAGGAGGATCAGCAGAGAAGTGATCGTGATCGTGATCGTGATCGTGATCGTGGTCGAAATGGAGACTGAAGAAGTGGTGGAGAGAGAGACCAACAGATTGAAGAGAGTGAATATAAGCGATGTGAGACTGAGCAAGGGAGTAACGCTGATGGATGGCTTCGTCGAGAAAGGAGCAACGCTCCCGACAGAGGGCGACCGCCGGCAAGTCATCAAGCTTGGAGCTGGTGCAACCCATAGTAATAATTGAAATTGAATTGGAGGAGAAGAAAGGGGAAGAGGGAAAATGATGATGGGGTTCAATTCAGGGGGGTGGGGTGGGGGTAAAAGTGGGTGGCGAGTGGTGACCATTAGTTTTAGGACTTACTCTGTAAAAGAAAAGGAAATTAGGGCAGGGAAAGGGGAAAGTAAGAAGAAAGGGAGGGCAGAGACGGAATCTTTGACAGCGCGGAGTTGGTCGTCGGTTTGTACTTTGCGGAGCGAGAGGGTGGCTCATGGCTATGCCAAGTGCTCAAGTGCAGCGAGTGTGCGTGAAAGCAACGTCTGTGGACGGTGGGAAAAGAGTTTTAAAGCTCTTACTGGAAGGAATTACGAGGAATGAATTATAATTTGGTAGAAAAAAAATAATGTGGAAATAAAATATGAATTCAAATTACATTATTTGGTAAGAAAAATAGAATTATTGGGATGAAAAAAAAAGTGATATAAAGATTAAAATGTTCTTGTGTGATAATAATACTAATAATAATTTAGGATAAAAAAAGTCATTATTTTTCATTTTCTTTTTCCTTTTCCCATTGAATTGCAATTCATACGGGGAGGGTATGAATTGCAATTCAACAAAATGAGGAATTGTAATTCGACTCCAACCAAACATTGTAATTTGTGTGACCCGAAAAATTAGACTGTAATTGAATTGCAACTACATTCAATCAAACAACCCCTTAAATCTTACTTTTTTAATGTGGCATGTTTTGATAAATTATTTTTGTATGTAAGTCCCAATATAAGTGTTTATATTGAAATTTTGTCTGTAAGAGTAAAAAATAAGAATACATATAAAAAAAATTGTTAGAAAATATGAAATATTAAGTATCACTCATTGACTCGGTATTAGTAATGTATAATTAGAAAAAATGTCATTTTTGTTCTATAATTATTGGATATTTTTAATTTGAATCTATGAATTTAAAAATGAGACTACAATTATATAATTTTTTTGAGTTAATTCCAGCAATGGTCCTCCGACTATGTTGATTTTCCATAATTGGTCCTTGACTTTTAATTTAGACAATTTAGACACTTGACTTTCGAATTCTTTCCAATGTTAGTCCTTCCGTCAAATGAAGGTTAAATGGATGTTAGTTTTAGGTGTAAAATAGTCATTTCACTTTGCTTACTTTATAATTATCTCTTTCAAGGCATTCTCTGATCTGCACGTCCCGTGTTCAATTTCTTAAATTTGAGCGTTTTCATCTACTCGGAATAACAGCTTCCTTCCTTTTAGGGATATATATGAATATGATGATCGAAGCTAAAAATAGGTCTGTGCCGTGCATTTGCGCCATATATATATATATATATATATATATATATATATATATATATATATATATATATGTGTGTGTGTGTGTGTGTGTGTGTGTGTGTGTGTGTGTGTGTGTGTGTGTGTGTGTGTGTGTGTGTGTGTGTGTGTGTGTGTGTGTGTGTGTGTGTGTGTGGCCTTTTTAACTGTGTATTCATTTTAACTGAATTACATATTCAAATTAATAAAAAGGCAGACACAAGAAAATCTGCATGTTTTATGAGGTCGAGAGAATCGGGAGCACAGAAACGAAAGAAACACAAAAAGAGAGGAACCAGACGACTAATATGACATATGAGTGTTTTGATTCCTTTTTCTTGATAAAGAATCTGGACACGGGGAAGGAGTTCATCGTGAAAGAGTGCAACGAAAAGGGAATGTGGAACAAGCTGAGTGATCTCCAGACTGGGAAGCAACTAACCATGGTACTCCTGGATGGTTAAGGAGCTAATGCACAGAGCACATGGGAGATCAGACAGTAAGATAAACATGAACTCTTATATTAGCAAGAGTTTCAGGTACATCAAGAAAACCAGTGTGGCTCTCATGAAGAACATAAATGATGTGGCGAATTCCATGAGTTTGAAAATCACAGATAGAGATCCCACTTTGCCTGTGTATTAATATTTTAAAAGAGTGCTCACTTCCGACACTCTCCTGCGGAAGAAACCTTGGACTCAATTATGCCGGAGAAGCGGTCGTTCTGATTTTTAAATCTCTGCTCGCCGGACCCGTTGTATCTCCTTTGATCATCATTACGATCGTCGTGGTTCAACTGGGAAGCAACCAGCTTATCAAGAGCCCTCCAATCACTCACTCTATTATTATGCTCATCGTCTTCTTCTCTGTTACTTCCATGGACGTCGGAGATTGCTTGCGGATTGGACTTGTTTACAACGCCGGAAAGAATGTCGGTACAGACCTATTCTTAGCTTCATAAGATTCATATATATCCCAAAAAGGAAGGAAACTGTTATTCCGAGCAGATGGAAACGCTCAAATTCGAGAAGTTGAACATGGAGGACGTGCAGATCAGAGAATGCCTTGAAAGAGATAATTATAAAGTAAGCAAAGTGAAATGACTATTTTACCCCTAAAACTAACATCCACTTAACCTTCATTTGACGGAAGGACTAACATTGGAAAGAATTCGAAAGTCAAGTGTCTAAATTGTCCAAATTAAAAGTCAGGTACCAATTATGAAAAATCAACATAGTTAGAGGACCATTGCTGGAATTAACTCTAATTTTTTTTGTCAATTTCAGTTCTTTTAACCAAATTATAGGCGAGGAGTCGTCCAAAATTTCTAATATGGTTATAATTGCTAAAATAATAATGACAAATTTATCTTTTCAAGCCAATCCAGTAATGATGACAAATTTATCTTTTCAACCCAATCCAATCTCTCTCACCTTCCCCCCACAATCTGTCTCCTTATACAGCCAAACCAAGCCCATGGTGTACACGGATACAAAAACGATATTGTTTTGATTAAAAATGTGTGTTCGATTTAAAAAAAAAAAATCAATTTCGATTTTCAACAATAACATTATGTTGTTTATTCATTCTAGATTTTTAGTTCATTCATTTTGGATTTTTAGTTATGAAATTATGGATGTGTAGTTATGCAATTCTGGATTTATAGTTATAAAGTTATGGATGTGTAATTATGCATAGTGTAGTTATGCAATTCTGAATTTATAGTTATGCAATTCTGGATTTATAATTATGTAATTCTGGATTTATAGTTATGAAGTTATGGATGTGTAGTTATGCAATTCTGAATGTATAGTTATGAAGTTATAGATGTGTAGTTTATATATGCAATTCTGGATTTATAGTTATGCAATTCTAGATGTATAGTTATGAAGTTATGAATTTTTTTTTAAGTCAACGTTAAAACGACATCGTTTTTGCATCTGTGTGCACCATGCATAGTGCACACGGATGCACAACATAACGCTCCAAAATTCGCATCCAAAACACTTACATGGACAATACCAGTCAAAGACTCTCTAGCCTGTTGAACATTTTATAGATAAATTAATATTTACTCCGTATTAATTATATGCATGTAATTTAATGTTCATGTGATTATTGGAGTTGTGGAGTATATAAATAATCATATTTAATATTGAATGATGGATAAAATTATTAATTGTGAGGTACTTATTATCAAATTTGAACTTACAAAATTACAAGTGAGCTGATTTCATTGAATAAGTTGGTAAATGATTTAGTGTCAGAATATTAAACTTGTGAAAATGCTGAAGTTTATAACATTTAACTAGTCTTCTCTATGCGAAAAACATATGTCCTATATTTATATTTTTAAAAAGAGTAAATATCTAAAATGGTCCCTCGACTATAGCTAAATTCACAAATCGGTCCTCGACTTTCAATTTCAACCAATTAAGTCATTAACTTTGTAATTTTAACACAATTTAGTCCTCTGTCTATTTGACCATTTGTTGACTGTGATTTTTGAGGATATATATGTAATTTCATGGTCCATCATCGGTTTTTTAAGGTTCCGGTTGTATTTCCAAACCGCACTGTTACATTCGAATCCACTGCCAAAAGCAATCTACCAAATCCGACCGCCTTTCTTCATCTTCCATCTGGATTCAATGAAGTTGAGTTCGTACTAGAGCGAAGAATACGACGTGTTTCCGAACCGGTGCAATGTCATCCTGGAGGCCTCCACGTGCTCCGACGAGAGCTGAAGGTTATTTTGGAGATCGTCGATCACAGTCAACAAACAGTCAAATAGATGGAGGACCAAATCGTGTCAAAATTGCAAAGTTAATGACTTAATTGGTTGAAATTAAAAGTCGAGGACCAATTTGTGAATTTAGCTATAGTCGATGGACCATTTTGGATATTTACTCTTTTAAAAATAACTAACAAGTTTTTACTAATTAAAATCTAAGTGAAATAAAATGTATTTATTATATTAGTCCAATATATAATGAATATGTAATGTCTTACAAATATTGCTAGCAATAAAGAATATAAGAAAATATATGGTGGATGAATGTGCATGGTAAAAGTAATGGAAAAGATATCGAATGTTATAACGGTAAGTGTATTTTTGTCTAAAAATTGTATAGTACAACTCTAAAAGTACAATGTACAAAATGATTAGCATTAAAAATATAAACCAAAATGAATGATATAACTTTGATTGAGACTTATTATGTTTTTAGACGTACAAAATATATATGTATATATTTTACCGTACACTACAGTCTATTATCTACTTAGAGCATCCACACTTGTGCATATTATGGGGAGATTTCAGAATTAATTCTTCTCAATGGGGATAATAACCAATGTGGAGTGGAGTTATTTGTAGAAATAATCATCCTGCAAATATGGGGAGAATGGCAGAAAAAGAAGAAAAAGAAAGAAAAGAAAAAGTGGCTGCTGTGCGCGACCGCCCACACGGGCGCGTCAGGCGCGCCTGACAGTTCGTTATTATTATTTTTTTTCCGTTTGTTTTTTTATTTTGGTTTTTATATTTTTTTTTCTCTCTTCCCCACATTCTCTCTCCTAATCACTCTTACATTATCCTCATATTCTTCCCAACTAATGTGGATGCTCTTAATGGCATGCAGTAAAAGTTAGAGTTTTTTGCACTTTTAGTCCCACGACTATAGTGGCACTGGCAGAATTGATCCACGACTTTTGAACCTTGCAATTTTAGTCCACGACTATTGATTTTTTTGCAAAAATGGTCCTTCCGGCCACTTTTCCGTCAAAATTTCACCGGAAAAAAAAAATTCTCCATTTTTAGCCGGGTTAAAATTAACATTTTACTTATCTCAAAAAATTAAAAGAAAAAATTGATATTTGACTACATACAATATTACTGGGCTACATACTACTACCCCAGGCGGCGGAGTACATGTACCACTCCAATGTTGCTGTCGGATAACCCAACTAGCCATGGGAACGCCACGGCCGCTCCGCCGCTTATTGACAGCCCTGCCTGCTCCAGGAACGTAACTCCGCCGCCTGGGGCAGTAGTATGTAGCTCAGTAATATTGTATGTAGTCAAATATCAATTTTTTTCTTTTAATTTTTTGAGATAAGTAAAATGTCAATTTTAACCCGGCTAAAAGTAGAGAATTTTTTTTTTCCGGTGAAATTTTGACGGAAAAGTGGCCGGAAGGACCATTTTTGCAAAAAAATCAATAGTCGTGGACTAAAATTGCAAGGTTCAAAAGTCGTGGATCAATTCTGCCAGTATCACTATAGTCGTGGGACTAAAAGTGCAAAAAACTCGTAAAAGTTATCCTTAACTTTGAATTCAAAGTCAATTTTGAAACTTCTTATCCATGTTCAGTTGGCAACTAACTTCTGCAAACTGCATTATTTGCCTATATAGGCATCCGTACATGCATGTAGGGACTAGGGACACGGCAAAATATGCATTACAGCATATTAGAAAATGATGTATTGATGTAAGGAAATTATCCTTATTTCCTTAATAGGAAATTGTTAAAGGAAATTATTTTCTTATTTCCTAATTTTTTCGAACTTGTTCTAATTGAAATTTAGGGTATGTTTAATTCATGGAAAATGTTTTTATTGAATTTAAGAAAAATTAATAGTTTGTTTATTAACAGAAAATTGTTTTCTATTTTTATTTTTTAATTTTTCAATTTCCATTATTTGTTAAAAATTGAAAATATTAATATTATCTAACAGAAAACTGTTCTCTGTTTTCTGTTTTCAAATTTTTCAGTTTTCACCTAAAATTTAGTTTAGATAATATTAATATTTTTTGAGTTAATATTTAATTTTGTTTTTGATATATTCATTTGATTGACATGTATATGAATATATAACTTTTACATTGAGTTCTAATATATGTGAGATTTCAATATCCGATATCTTAACCGAACTTGTATTATGATTTAACATAATTAAAAATATTCGAACTAATAATCTATTGAGTTCAATCAAAACCTAAAACATTATATAGAGTTTAATTCTTAATTTTGATAATGTAAATAATGTCTAACTTTAAAGTGTATGTTTAAATAAGTAAAGTAAGTAGTAGAAAAGATAGAAGATATTGATAAGTAAAATAAGATGATAATGAATGTAATCATAGTAATGTGGTTATAGTGACATATAACTAAATAGATGATAGGTGATTATATTTTCCATTTTGAAAACAGTTTTTAAGTGTGTTCCAATTTTTCAGAAATTTTCAAAAATTATTTGTAGTTTTCAAAATGGAAAACTGTATTAGTAAACATGTTTTTTGTTTTCTATTTTCCAGTTTCCAAAAATTTCTAGTTAATAAACGGCCCCTAGATTTTCTTTTGTTTGGTTCATGGAAAACATTTTCCATGGTCTCCCTTGGTATTTTGTTTTTCAGGAAAAATGTTTTCAATGAAAAACAAGTAAGACAATTATGCATTCACCAACTTTTCTTAATTACTATTATTATTGTTGTTATTATTATGTAGGGGTATAATTGTCTTTATATTCATTATTTCTTATAATTCCAAACTCAACCAAACAATATAATCGATATTCCCAGTTATTTATTTTCCACCAACCAAACAATGTAATTAATCTTCCCGATAATTTCTTTTCCATGAAATTTCAATTCTATTTTCTCTCAAATATTTTCCACGAACCAAACAGGGCTATAGTACTTTTTTTTTTTTTTAATTTGTTTATAGAACACACTTTAACAAATATTCTCTCATATTTATCATTGTACGTGATTAAATTTGTCAAACAATCAAATTCAATTATTACACTTTTAATTTATTGTATCTCAAAAGTTTTTATCCGTTTGTTCTGTTGTTTTAGCAAAGAATTGTTAAGAAATTTGTAGGAAAATGAATTGAACCTAGTTCATGCATTGAAATGTTATCAATTTTTTTTTTATTTCTTACTCCTTGTTAGGGATGACAATGTGCCCCGTCCCCGTTTCTGTAGGGGATGGGGACGGAGACGGGAACGGGGAAAAATTTTGGGAATCGGGGACGGAGACGGGGAATTTTTGAAATTCCCCGGCGGGGATGGGGACGGGGACGGGGATACCCCTCCCCCCCGTCCCGTCCCCGAATAATTATTATAATTAAAATAAATAAATAAGTTATATATATATATATATATATATATATATATATATAAAATTAATATTTAAGTTTTTAGTTTTAAAAATTAAAATTTACACTAATTTAAGGCTTTTGATTAAAAGTTCATCGGGGATGGGGAATCTCCGTCCCCGCCAAATTTCCCGCGAGGACGGGGATGGGGACAGGGACGAGGATGGAGTTGGGGTTTCGGGGACAGAAACAGGGAGTATAGTCCCGCCCCGTTGCCATCCCTACTCCTTGTTCTGGCTGGTGCAAAATATGCCTACGAGCAAGCTCCCAAGAAGCAATCAAACCCATCATATATGCTCAGTCATCGGGTAGATGCTTCGATCTCCCGATATTTGATTCATATATAACATGAGATACTTTGAAGGAAATGGACTCCTTTGATCGTATGCTTAACAAAATGACATGTATCACATATCAGGTTCTTATTATAAAAGGTTACAATTCAAACCATTTAACAAGTGCTTAAAATTGTCAAGTACCTTATACTCAGATGACATGTATTGACCTCTTTATCGAGCCACAATGAAGGCGTTGTTGACTCTTTGTGCTTCTTTAAGTTGAGAAAGAGCCTCAGTGAAGGCGTTGTCTCTTTGTGCATCTTTAGGCGAGAAAGAGAAAGTATGTTTGATGCTAAAATGTAATAGAGTCATATCACCAAAAGTGACATTTTTTTTATTTGAAAAATAAAAATAACAAATGAGATCATTTTCATAAATATATATAAAGTGCACCGGCCACAGTGACTATGAGGTCCCTGTATTATATTGTTTTGTTCAATTGACTCCTTGTACCTTTATTTTGTTTAATTTAGTCTCGTACTATTTTAAAAAGTTGTACAATTAAGGATAATAATTAATAGTTAATAGTGTTAATATTACTGTTAACTTAGCTTATGTGGCGTTAAAAAGTTGTACAATTAAGGATAACTTATGTGGCGTTGAGATCATCACTACCACATCATGACATTTATATTCCAACTCATATATATATATTATTTTATAAATATTTAAAATTTATTATTTTTACCCTTGATCATTCTTTCAAATTTTCACATCTATGACCAGTTACCCATGCGGGTAAGTTAATTGTAATATTAACATCATTACCTACTGTCTTTAATTGCATCACTTTATTATAAAGTACATGGATTAAATTGAACAAAATAAAAATAGGATTATATATATTATGCATGCCCATTTGAAGGAAATATGCCCAACTGACTAATTTTATATTGGAGGATAGTACGTATATTTGTATTTTTAGTTAAAGATTATTAAAACACCTAGTGGATTTGGTGTTTGTTCAATCTCTCACTCTCTCTTAGATTTCCACCGCAGAAAAATGGTAGGTTTTAGTTACGTTTATCGGTATCCATTAGGTTCACAAGCTTTTTATTGGCTTCCCATACAAAGGGGAGAATTTGTTTGGATGTCGTGTAGCACCTAGTTACGTACGTTAGGGTAGCATCCTATCTCAAAAATTTCTTTGTCTTAGCTAGCGTCCAAGATTGAATCTGTACTGTTGAGTCGTCCGCGGCCTCGAATTTCATGCATGGATGTCTTCGATCATCAACAAGCTAAGCTAGCTAAGTGGATTTAAATTGTCAACAATATTATATTATATTAATAGGTAGCTAGCTAGGGCGGGTGAAGGTTGTATGTATGTATGTATAATTAGTTGAGATAGATCAGAATGTCCAACCAACCATCAAAGAAGGGGATGCGAGGCGGCGGCCCAGCTGGGAGTTCTTCTGGATCTCAAGGGAACCGCGGTTCAACCGGACAAACTGTAAAATTCGCCCGAAGAACGTCCAGCGGTCGATATGTTAGCCTCTCCAGAGAAGACCTAGATATGTCAGGAGAATTATCTGGTGATTACATGAACTACACCGTCCAAATTCCTCCCACTCCCGATAACCAGCCTATGGACACGTCTGTTGCCGCAAAAGCCGAAGAGCAATACGTCTCCAATTCACTCTTCACCGGCGGATTTAACAGCGTCACCCGTGCCCACCTCATGGACAAGGTGATTGAATCTGAAGTAACCCATCCTCAGATGGCAGGATGCAAGGGCTCTTCCTGTTCAATGCCAGCTTGTGATGGCAAAATCATGAAAGATGAAAGAGGAAATGATGTCACTCCGTGTGAATGCAGGCAAGTTCAATTCGTATATATGGTAGCTAGGCTCCCTGGCCTGCATACATACATAATGCATGCCATGCCATGCATACCAATTAATTAATTAAGCTGATCGATCGGCTGCATGCGCTGTAATTTTTTCTGCAGGTTTAAAATTTGCAGAGACTGCTACCTGGATGCCCAAAAAGATTCGGGTCTATGTCCTGGATGCAAGGAACTGTACAAAGTTGGGGAGTATGACGATGATGTACCAGACTTTTCAAGCGGAGCTCTGTCTTTACCAGCCCCAGACGGTTCCAAAGGGGATAGTCGGAATATGTCTATGATGAAAAGGAACCAAAATGGAGATTTCGATCACAATAAATGGCTGTTTGAGACACAGGGCACATACGGGTATGGTAACGCCTATTGGCCTCCAGACGATATGGATGGGTACGATGGTGATGCTGGAATGCAGAAAGGCATGTTGGATACATCGGCAGAAATACCTTGGAAACCACTAAGTCGGAAGTTACCAATACCAAATAGCATCATCAGCCCTTACAGGTATGTTTAATTTATGGAGTAATAATTTGTTCCGGCCGGCCTTAGCTTGGTGTCAATCTGCGAGTAATGCCCTAATATAATATAATATAATATGCATGCATGCATGCAGGTTGCTTATTGTGGTTCGCCTTGTTGTGCTTGGTTTCTTTTTGACATGGCGGATACAACATCCAAACGATGAAGCAATATGGCTGTGGCTAATGTCTGTTACATGTGAATTATGGTTCGCCTTCTCTTGGATCCTGGATCAAATTCCCAAGGTGAATCCTTGTAACCGCAGCACTGATCTAGTGGTATTGCGTGAAAAATTTGATATGCCATCGCCATCCAACCCTACTGGGCGGTCGGACCTCCCGGGACTTGACTTCTTCGTGTCCACGGCTGATCCTGAGAAAGAGCCACCGCTAACCACAGCCAATACTATCCTATCAATTCTAGCGGTTGATTATCCTGTTGAGAAACTGGCTTGTTATATTTCGGATGATGGTGGAGCACTTCTGACTTTTGAGGCAATGGCAGAGGCTTGCAGCTTCGCTGATCTGTGGGTGCCATTCTGCAAAAAGCACGATATTGAACCCAGGAATCCGGAAAGTTACTTCAGCTTGAAGGGTGACCCCACAAAAGGCAAGAAACGGACAGACTTTGTGAAGGATAGGCGGAAGGTTAAGAGGGAGTATGATGAATTTAAAGTGAGGATAAATAGTTTGCCAGATGCAATCAGGAGGAGATCGGATGCATTTAATGCCAGGGAAGAGATGAAGATGTTGAAACAAATGAGAGAGAGCGGCGCTGAAGCTCGGGATCCAGTCCAGGTCAAAAAGGCAACTTGGATGGCGGACGGTAGCCACTGGCCAGGAACATGGGCTGTTGGTAGTACTGACCACGGTAAGGGTGATCATGCAGGGATACTTCAGGTACATATATATATATATATACTAGCAAGGTGCTTATTAATTATTAGCTAGTTAAGTACAACGAACATGCATACCTGGCCTGCATTATATATATGAATTATATATTGTATAGGTAATGTTGAAGCCCCCCAGCAGCGATCCCCTAATGGGAGGATCGGATGATAGTAAACTTTTGGATTTCTCGGATGTAGACATACGTCTTCCTATGTTTGTGTACATGTCACGCGAGAAGCGGCGAGGATATGAACACAATAAGAAAGCTGGTGCAATGAATGCCCTGGTGCGATGTTCGGCCGTACTTTCTAACGGCCCCTTCATGCTCAACCTCGACTGCGATCACTACATATACAACTGCAAAGCTGTTCGTGAAGGAATGTGCTTCATGATGGATAGAGGAGGGGAAGACATATGTTATATTCAGTTTCCTCAAAGATTTGAAGGCATAGATCCCTCTGATCGTTATGCCAATCACAATACAGTGTTTTTTGATGGCAATATGCGTGCACTTGATGGCATCCAGGTATATCTACCAAATTATATTATATTTAAGCTCGCTCTCATCATCATCTGTTGATCATATTTTCTTCATGTCCTTAATTAGCCAATATATATGTTCGATCTTTAATTCCAAATTAATAAAATACATATATACTGCAGGGCCCTGTATACGTGGGTACAGGAACCATGTTTAGACGATTTGCACTGTATGGGTTTGATCCCCCACAAGCTGACATCAACCCCCAGAAAGGTGCGGATGCCCAACCTCTAAACACCACCGACTTTGACCCTGACCTAGATGTAAATCTCTTGCCCAAGCGTTTCGGGAACTCTACTATGTTGGCAGAATCCATTCCCGTAGCGGAATTCCACGGCCGCCCCATTGCGGATCACCCTGCTGTCAAGTATGGGCGACCTCCCGGTATCCTCAGAGTCCCCCGCGAACCACTTGATGCAGCCACTGTGGCAGAAGCTGTCTCTGTCATATCTTGTTGGTAATTATACTAATACTGTATATATATAGTAAGTAGGCACACCCTAGCTAATTAATTAAACTAACAATATATGCATGCATGCCTTTTGCAGGTACGAAGACAAAACCGAGTGGGGTGAACGAGTGGGTTGGATTTATGGTTCGGTGACAGAAGATGTGGTCACAGGATATCGCATGCATAACCGTGGATGGCGCTCTGTCTATTGCATCACCAAGAGAGATGCATTCCGTGGTTCAGCCCCCATCAATCTCACCGATCGCCTCCATCAGGTCCTCCGATGGGCCACCGGTTCTGTTGAAATCTTCTTTTCTAGAAACAATGCCTTCTTAGCCTCCCGTCGCCTCAAATTCCTCCAGCGCCTGGCTTACCTCAACGTTGGCATCTACCCCTTCACCTCCCTTTGCCTCGTCGTCTACTGCTTCCTCCCAGCCCTCTCCCTCATCTCCGGCCATTTCATTGTCAAAAACCTCAATATCGCCTTCCTCCTCTACCTATTAACCATAACCATCTGTCTCATCTCATTGGCCCTCTTGGAAGTCAGGTGGTCCGGCGTCGGCCTGGAAGAATGGTGGAGGAACGAACAGTTTTGGCTCATTTCAGGCACCAGCGCTCACCTTGCTGCTGTCATCCAGGGCCTCCTCAAAGTCGTCGCTGGGATCGAGATCTCCTTCACTCTCACCGCCAAGGCTGCAGGAGATGAGAACGAAGACATTTATGCCGAATTATACTTGGTGAAGTGGACCTCACTTATGATCCCTCCCATCGTAATTGCCATGATCAACATAATCGCAATAGTCATCGCATTCTCCAGGACAATTTACAGCGCCAATCCTCAATGGAGCAAGTTCATTGGAGGAGCTTTTTTCAGTTTCTGGGTGTTGGCACACCTCTATCCTTTTGCCAAGGGTTTAATGGGAAGGAGACGGAAGACGCCAACCATTGTTTTTGTCTGGTCGGGGCTTATTGCCATTACACTCTCACTGCTTTGGATAGCCATCAGTCCACCCAGAGGCGGTACAGCAACAGCAGAGCTCGGGGGTGGAGGAGGCGGTTTCCAATTCCCTTAAACCTACCCTCATCATCATATCAATCGCTAGCTACTATATATATATATATATATATATATATATATATATATATATATATATATATATATATATATATATATATATATATATATATATACACACACACACGTAGTCCCTATTTGAGCTCTTGTTATGGTTTCCTTTATTTGTTTGTTTTTTTATTTTTATTTAAAAAAAATAATATATTTATGTATATTAAACTAAAAGATTAGTTGCTGCACAAAAGAGCTACAAAAGAGCTAATTGATACAAAGAATCAGAAGAGCTTATTAAATGAAGGAAAGAGATTGAGAGGTTGGGGATTCCAAACTTTTTGGACTGCCCGAGGTTCTCTTTATCACAATATTATATTTCCTTTGGCTCATCTTATTGTATAAAATATTGTGCTAGCTTGTTACATGCTTATTTCATTACCTCTAACATTAAAAGGGGTAATATGTATACGTTAGAATTGTACTTATTTTGTTATAATTAATAAAGGGTTTGTAAATTTATTTATTTTTTCCTTTGTTGAACTTTATTATTATTTAAGCTATTGTTCCATTTTTTTTTTTTTTTTTTTTTTTTTTTACATATTAAACTATAAATCAATTGTATGTTGCACAAAAGAGCTTGAATGAAGATAGGGATTTGGGCCGCAAAAGGTTGCCCTCATCACAATATTTCATATTTTTCTTCGACTCATTTTGTTGTGCAGAATATTGTGTTAGCTAATTGCATACTTATTTCTTTTATTTTTTGACACTAAAAGTTACGGGTAGGAATATTCCAAGCCCCTACATGTCCTAACCTAATTAAGGCCTAATTAGGCTTAGATCGTCTATTAAACTAAACAAGCTAGGCCTATAAATATCATGTTCGGCCTTCAGGCCTGACCCCTCTCTCTCTCTCTCTCTATATATATATATATATATATATATATATATATATATATTCTATTTTATACATAATATATTTGTATATTTACGGTATAACCCCAAGTATATATAATTACCAAACCATAACCGTCCATTCCAAAATTCATTCTAAATAATGATTCAACTATAAATATTGCTATTTGTCCTGCTATAAATGTTCGTATTGTTTTTTTTTTATTATTATTATTAACTGTTCGTATTGTCATAATATTTAATAAAATGTCACAAATTAATTATGTGAGTTGATTGTTAACCATTTATGAGATTATATATATAGGATAACAAACAATAATACAATTGAATTAATTTCTAAATAAGTTAACGAACATGCTGATGTCGTGACTTATTTTATTATTATTATTTTTTATTTTAATGCTATTATGTTTGCATTGTGGTGATTGATAATGCTTGCTTTGTGAAGAAATGGGTTCCAACTCTGAAAGAACAATGGCTTATGGCTACCACCAATGTTGAACCACATATTCACTCTCTAAAGACAAAAACTCTTGAAATTTATGCATTGTCTAAGGATGATGTAACCCCACATGTCCTCAAGGTTCAAGAAATTGTAGATCCTTGTTTTCAAGTGATATATTTGTGCTCAAATCTAAATAAATTGTGTATATGTTATCCTTATGTATGTCAATGCTGCTAGCAAATTAGGAAATTCAGCAAGCCATACATTGACTAGATAGCCACTACCACAAGACCTCGTGTAGAAAAAGTACGTGTGGTCATAAAGCCTTATACAAAGAGTTCATGCTTATGGAAAATTCCTAGGATCTGCAACTACATGCCATCATTAGGTATATAAAGCACATTTCTTTTGGATTTCAATAGTAAATAGAGGAGAGTGGTAGTTTACCAGACATGCTACTCAGGGATGAGCAAAATATTAGTTAACCGTTCGATAACTGAATCAACCAAAAAAATTCAATTTTGATTGGTTTTAATTATTGAAGTTAACAAAATTTGGTTATTTGATATTTTGGTTATTAACTTTTGGTTATTAGTCTCAGTGACGGTTAACCAACATATATATAGCCCAAAACAATAATGCTGCTGACTGTTGCTAGCTTGCTACTACTAATTTTGCTCCATTTTGTGTATTTTTATCATTGTTAAAACATAGCTTATCTTAAAACTATCATCACTGTAAGTTTGAATTCATGACAGGTCTACATTGTTTCTAATCTTGGGTACTGGACAATGTTTCTATCATAATTCAATTCCAAACATATTAATGTATTGGACACTGGGTTTACAACATTTTGCCTACTTATTTCTTTTGGATTTGGAATTACGTAGCAATGCAAATTAGAACATCGGTTATGATGGTCAAAAATATTAATTGGTTTTTCAGTAGCTCAGTTTGTCGAACCTTGAATATGACATGAAATGTCATGGGTTTGAATCTCATTCATAGCACTTTTGTATATTTTAGTTTATTTTCTTTATTTGAGCTTTTCGTTAGCACATAATTTTTTGGATTTGCCCTGTATGTGGTTGATAAATTTATGATGGTTGGCTAAGTTAGATGCTTTATAATAGGAGGGTACTGTTTTTCATATGGAAAAACTTAAGTATAGCCTACCCATTAATTGTTGATAATATTTACTTGTCAAATTGAGTAAATATTTTGTACAAATGAAAAAAAAAATGTTAAATCTAGATCTATATGAAAGAAATGTTAAAGTTAGCTTTATTGAATAGTTGAAATGTAAGCACATAATCCACGTTATAAACAGTAAATACGTGGCTAAGGAAAAGAGTTAGGATCACCAACCTCCAGCCATAGCTTTGATTCTTGATCACCAGGGACTCGCTGCAGAAGTTCCTCGGGCTGCTGTAGAATCTGCGTAAGTTTCAGTTATGTTTCTCTCACTTCTCTCAGTGACTCTAGATAGGTGTATAATGCGTCAACCAAGCAGTGAGAGGACTTAGGGGTCTAAATAACCTACATCCCATCAATGTAGGTAACCAATTACCTAATGCTGACTAAGTTCTAATACTTAGTCAGCCTATTGATTTGCACCACTTAAATTACTATTGTTATTATATAATAATAGACTTAATAATAATAATAACAATATGGGAAAACGTTACATTCTCCCACTTGGTGCAAATGCGGAACTCAAAAACAGGATTTACACCAACCATAATGATATGTCCTCCTTAGCGCAAGTAATATCCATTATGATCAAATGCAAATTGCCTTTGAGTACTTTAGGTAATCAAACTTTAATGAAACAAACCATATGTTCATTTCAAGTCCACTGAAGTATGTTTCTTTATTGAGATAAACTGAATTGTGTACACACTCAAAGAAAACATCTGAAGTATCTGAAAAACTGAAGTGCAAAAGAATTTCATTATTCAACTGAATGTATATACAAATTACAAAGAGGACGAAAGCCCTATTTTCTTAATCAGATCCTTAAATTTAAATGGAGGCATGCCTTTAGTAAAGGGATCTGCTAGCATCAACTCAGTATTAATGTGTTCAATGAATACAACTTTATTCTTGACACGCTCCCTAATGGCTAAGAACTTGATGTCGATGTGTTTACTTCGACTCCCACATTTTTCGTTCTTAGCTAGGAAGACTGCAGCTAAGTTGTCACAATAAACTTTAAGTGGCTTAGATATAGAATCCACAATTCTAAGTCCAGAGATGAAATTCTTGAGCCACACACCTTGCGAAGTAGCCTCGAAACAGGACACGAACTCGGCTTCCATGGTAGAAGTAGTTATTAAGGATTGTTTAACACTTCTCCATGAAATAGCCCCACCGGCCAATATGAAGACATACCCGGAAGTTGACCTCCGAGAATCAACACAGCCAGCGAAGTCCGCATCAGAATAACCAACAACATCCAGGATGTCCGTCTGCCTAAAACCCAACTTGAAATCTATAGTACCTTTGAGATACCTTAGAACTCTCTTCACAGCTCCCCAGTGATCCATGCCCGGATTATGCAAGTACCGCCCCAACATACCGACGGCAAAGGCAATGTCAGGCCTTGTACAAACTTGAATATAGCCAAGACATCCAACCGCTTCAGCATATGGAATATCTTTCATACGCTCCTTTTCCAAGTTATTCTTAGGACATTGGTCCAAACTAAACTTATCCCCTTTTGCGATGGGAGCAACATTCGGTGAACAATTTTGCATCCGAAATCTCTCCAAAACATTGTTAATATAGGTTTCCTGCGATAGACCCAGTATACCCCGGGACCTATCCCTATGAATCTTTATGCTAATGACATAAGATGCTTCACCCATATCTTTCATATCAAAATTTTTGGAAAGGAACTGTTTCACGTCACGAAGCATCCCCACCTCATTAGTGGCGAGTAGGATATCATCCACATATAAAACAAGGTAACATATTTTACTCCCACTAACTTTCTGGTATATACAAGGATCTAAGGGACTTTCAACAAAACCAAATGATGAAATGACCCCGTCAAACTTAATATACCACTGACGGGAGGCTTGTTTCAAACCGTATATGGACTTCCTGAGCCTACACACCAAATCCTCACCCCCTCTAGAAGAGAAACCTTCAGGTTGTTTCATATAAACTTCCTCTTCTAGATCACCATTTAGGAACGCGGTTTTCACATCCATTTGTTGCAACTCAAGGTTAAAGTGTGCAACTAAAGCCAGAATGATTCGAAGAGAATCTTTCTTTGATACAGGAGAAAAAGTCTCCTTGTAGTCAATTCCTTCTTTTTGAGTAAATCCCTTAGCAACGAGTCTGGCCTTGAACCTCTCAATGTTACCTAATGAGTCTCTTTTGGTTTTAAATACCCATTTACAGCCAATCGGCTTGGCCCCATTAGGTAACTCAACAAGGTTCCAAACTCCATTACTCTTCATGGAATTCATTTCATCTTTCATGGCTTCTAACCACAAATCGGACTGTGCACAATTCGTAGCTTGTGAAAACGTTATGGGATCATCTTCAGCTCCAATGTCAGATTCTTGTAGATACGATACGTAATAGCTAGGAACTGCCGAACGCCTTACCCGAGTAGACCGTCTTAATGTTGT